GCTTTGGAAAACAACAAAAATGAATTCCATGTTTGCAGAGACCTACGGCATTGTCACACTGAATCAGGGTGAAACATTTCACCTCTCAAATATTGGTCACAGTTTGACCTATACACTATTTCTATGTTTGGCAGACATGTCAGTTTTTACAAAATCTTATGGGCTCTTACAACAGCCCTCACTAAATGCTGCATGGAAATAGCACCTTCCATAAATGCAGAAATTTGTAACTAGCTCCATGTTAATTTGTGATAATGATCAATTTGTAGCACCTCTGGGGTATCAACTGTATTACAAAAGTAGTTGATAAATAATTTCAGTCAACATTGACAAAGAACCAAACCCTAGTAGTTATTAACAACTTTATTTTTTTATTCAGAGCTTTGTGATGATATGCTCGTAAAACAGAATGAAAAACAATCTTTCAGCACGGTGACTCATCTGGTCATTAGTCACACAAGAAACTAAACATATCTACAGAGAGAGCAGATTTGGAATTTTAAATATCTCACAATATATTAAATTGTTTGGATAGCATTTAACCTTCTGAAAAGTTTTAGCTGAGTCTCCAAATGAATGAAGTATTGCATTAATAAACACAATGTGACAATGTAATTTATAAGTTCCAAGAGTACAGTCACTCAAGGGCAGTCCACATTTGTCAACAAAACCATGAATACAGCACTGGGTGCCTACTGATGGCAAGCTGTCTGCAAGCTTCAGCTGGAGAGAGAGATGGCTCATTCCCAGCAGTTTTAAATCATCCCTAATAATTTTCCAAATGTTTGTAAATAATTTCCTATCAGATGCTGCATTCCCAAAAAAGGAAATCCTTAGGTAGGGTTATATGTAAATGGCAGAAGCATGTGTAAATTCCATTCACCTACTTTTGATGTGGAGTCTTTAGAGTTCTCTCCATGGCAATACCTCTGGCCTTTCCTGATCAGGAAGAGGCCATTTACAAAAAGGCAACCTCCACAAGAACTGAATATACATCAACACTGTCAGCAAACATTTCTGAGGACAGCACCTGCTGCAGAGGATTAAATAGGTGACATTTAGGAATATTTAAGAGCTATTGTCTTCCAAAGCTTGAAAAAATAACCATGTTTTTTATTCCTAGTCTAGGCCACGGCTAGAAGCTCTTCACAAGTAGTACTATCATAGATAACAAATGTAAATAATATTCTAAGAAATCAGTACATGGAATGCAATATTGTAGGCTACTGTACATTTTTATAAAAATACAACAGTCACGTATGATTTTGGAATAACTAAGCTGACTCAGTCTAAAAACCTTACCTGCACTGTGCCTAGCTCTGTTCAACTCCTGTTTCTGTAGTCCATAGTTGACAGTTTTGGCAGCTACAGAAAATTTCTCACTCCCCTACAACCCCTCTGTAATTTAAAATACTACATTGCAGTTCATTGTGAGTCAATGTATGAAGTTAGAAAATCAGTTAGAAACAATAAATGTTCAAATAGAATACTGAATTTCTTGCTACTGTACCTAAATTTTTATGTGACAATTTATGACTCCATCTGCAGCTTTACTACAGACCACAGGATGAACTACAACTAGTAGATCTTTGTCTTCCTGCAGTTTGCTGGCACAAAAACCCTGGATGTTCGTTTTACAAGTAAGCGATTCTGGTAAGCATCAAAGCTATTTCAGGCCACTCAGCCAAAACGGGCAAAAAGAGAGAAAAAACCAAAACCTCAAACCCCAGAGCGAAACTCCAAATCACAGCTACAGCTGACCCCCAAAATCTTTCTGTAAAACGCAGTGAATTGGAAATGTCGGGGGCATCACAGGCGTTTCTGGCTGTGGGGAGCCCCGGGCCCGGCAGTCCCGTCGGGGGCGGGTGGGTGGCAGCCCGGCGGAGCCATCGGTGCTGCGGGCAGCTGCCTGCCGGCCGCCGGCTGCCTGCGCTGGAGGCTTTCCAGCGTCTCCCACCCGCCCCTCGGCGTTGCATCAGCCGGGCCCGCTCCGTTCCGGGGGTGTCCGCGGCGGCCCCGCTGCTCGCCCCGCACAGCCCCGCCCTGCCCGGGGGCTCACCTGGAACGCCCGCAGCGCCCCGAGTCCTCCTCGCTGCAGCTGGGGCACCGCGTTCCGCCGCCCCCCTCCTCCTCCTCTTCCTCCTCGTCCTCCTCGGCGGCCGCCTGGACGGCCACTCGGATCTGCACGGGGCCGCTCCCCGCCGGCAGCTCCGGCCCGGCGGGCTCGGCCCCGGCCTCGGCCGGCTGCGGCTGGGCCATGGAGCTCCCCGGCCGGGATCAGCCCGCCGCGACACCCGCGATGCCCCGGCTTGCGACAGCCGCCCGGCCGCCTCCCCTCCTGCCCCCCCCTGTCCCCTCCCGCTGGGGCGGCGCTCCCAGCTCCACTCCCCCGGCGCGGCCGCACGGCAGCGGGAGGGTCCGACCCTCCTCCAGCCATGCCGCCCCCGGGCCCGCCGGGCAGCTGAGGAGTCCTTCCCTTGACGGCTGAGCAGGGACTGCTTTTGTTTCGCCAGAAAACAACGGGCTCCTCGCCGGAAAGCAGCGTTTCGGCTGCTCCTCTCCTTGTGCAGCCTTGGGGCTGCGCCGCCGCTCCCTGACCAGAGCATTGCATTTCTGAAAGTCAAAAAGGTCTCGCAGGGGTAAGTGTGGTTTAAATGCCGAGGGTGAGATCTGGAAATAAGATACACGAGTGGACAAGGATTTGATTGGATACGTGCTGGTTTTGCAGAGGAGTCTCCTCTATAGTTCTGCATGGCACTTACACAGAATAAAAACATTCCCTCCTTAAGAACTAATTAAAATAGAGGCCCTCTTTCTAAAACACTTAGGCAGTGATTATTTTGAACTTAAGACTAATGCACTATATTTCAGTGCACTGTTCCAGCTACTTAAGTGTCCACTACAGTGTTCTATTTCAGTTCATGTACTAAATATTAGAATCAAAAGCTTTTCAATTTACCATCTAAATACTCATTCTTCACTCAAGGAAGATTTTTTTCAATACTGTCTGTACCCAAACTGCTAAATGATCTTTACGTCACAGTTTCATTTGTGGCATTCTTGTTTATGTTTGCATTGCTTCAATATTTTCTTCTTAAAAATTTGGATGGACAAAGAGTGAGACTGCACTCATGGCCAGTTCTTCTCATTACTGTGGCAAACAGTCCTCATGAGTCAGGTTTGCTGGCATGGACACATTTGAGACTGCCCTGCCTCAGGCTTTGGCTGATTTTTAAATGTGCCTTAAGCAATAAAGTATTTTGTTTATGAAATACGCTTACAAGCACCACTAACCAAATCTCTAGTTCTCTGCTGATGGAACATTCTGTATTATGTCTTGGGTAATGCATCACTTTGCTATTTTTTTTTCAGTGGATGCAGAAATACAAACACGAATTACACATTCTAGGCAAGAATATGGACAGGGGCTGTGGGCAGATTTTGTATGAGTTCATGGAAGTTGTTTGCCTCCCTGGGCACAAACAAGGTCAGGAGTATGAACAAAGAACTATTTCATGCTACCCAAATAGCTAACCCAAATGATGTTTGAGAGAGACCTTTCAGTTTATCTGATATATCTTTCTGTCAAGGTTGAGGGAACTTGATTTTATAGCAAAGGACACTAGATGTGTTTATTTGTTCTACCAGTGGTCGCAGCACAGAACTGGCTTTTGACCAGATGAAGACTGATGTAATTTCAAACACTGTTGATTAGATTTCCATTGAAATTGCCAGACTGATGTTTTTTGAGTTTGTTTTGTTTTATTTTCCTTTTAATGTAACAGTGCTCTATAATGCTCAACTTCCAGTAGAGATAAAGCAGTATTTGAAAACATAGCAGAACTTAAAACTAAATGTATTAATGTAGAGAAGTCCCTTAGAGGGAAACCCATGGCTCACTGGTACCCAGTAAACATCCTAAACCCATGAATTTCAACCGCACAACCAAAATCTGCACAGATTTCTTATGGTGCATTTTCCAGCAGATGGAAAATAAAATGACAATACGAGAAGCTAAAGCTGGAATATTTATTTGTTTGTGTGGCCAGGCATTGGAATAGGTTGCCCAGTCAGGTGTTTAAGAGTGTCTGGATCTGCACTGGATCATGTGGTTTGTAGTTTAGGGGTTACAGTTGCAGTTCTGGGTTAACATTTGGACTTGATGATCTTAAAGGTTCCTTCCAACCTTGATGATTCCATGATTTGATTAGGGAAAACACCATGAGGCAACTCACAGCCCTTCCATGCACTGACAGCCACACCGTTACTTCTCCTACCATGAATTTCTTAATGAGTGTATTTAAAACCATCCACTACGATCAGAGGAGCTTCTGGGCTCCAGGAGCTGCTGCAGGATCAGCACCAGGAGCTCGCGCAGGTTGACTCTCGCATTTTGTGACTGTCACATTTAGTGACCAGTCTATGCCCACAGAAGACAGCTTCCCGAGGCACGACAGGAACCTCCAGCTTCTCGCCCTGTCACGGGTTTTCACACACAACCACTTGCTTGTAGAATTCAGAAAAATACAATCATAATAGCCGCTTTTTACTGTGAGGCAGCGGGGTGTGGGCGACACTGCGCACAGCAGGACTACCACAGAGCGCCCCGTCCGTCCGTCCGTCCGTCCGTCCGTCCATCCATCCATCCGTCCGTCCATCCATCCGTCAATCCATCCATCCGTCCGTCCGTCCATCTGTCCGTCCATCCATCCGTCCGTCCATCCATCCGTCCGTCGGTCCCCGTCCCCTCACAGTTTCCCACCCCTCACGGTTTCCCACCCCTCACGGTTTCCCGCCCCTCGGCACCGCCCCAGACGGCGGGCGGGGCGGAAGCCGCGGTGTCCGCGGTAACGGAGGAGCCATTTCCGACAGGAGGGCGGCGGCGCGGGGCCGTGCGGGCTTGTTTGGCACCGCGGAGCTCTGACAGGCTGCTTGAGGCTGCGGGGCCCTGAGGGGCCGCCTGGAGCGGAGGAGCTGCGCGGGGCCCTGAGGGGCTGAGGGGCTGCGGGCCATGGTGCCCAGCAAGGGCCGGCCCGGCCGGGGCCCGCGGGCCGCGCCCTCAGCGGTAGGTGCTGCGGGGCTGGGGTGCCGGGGGTACCGGGGTAGGTGCTGAGGGGCTGGGGTGCCGGGGGTACCGGGGGTCACCGGGGTAGGTGCTGCGGGGCTGGGGTGCTGAGGGGCACCGGGGGTCACCGGGGTAGGTGCTGCGGAGCTGGGGTGCCGGGGGTGCCGGGGTAGGTGCTGGGGTGCCGGCGGGCGGCAGCGCCCCGACATCATTTGTGCTGCGCTGGGAGGTGCATGGATGAGCCGCTCGGTTCTGTGCTCCTGGGAGACGTCTCGGTTTTTGTCGCATAAATCTAGCTCAAAGACCAGCATGTTTTGTCTTTTGAAAATACAAGGCGTGTTAAAATGTAAATACTTGTTTTCTTCATACTGAGAGTTGTATCCCCATGGAAGTCATGCTTTCAGTGTATTTTTAAAGCTAAAACCAGTGTGATTTTTGTAAACGAAAAATTTTGTGTTACTTGGAGCTGTGATGTATTCTTCATAGTATTTTTGCAAAATAATTCCTTCCTTGTCAGATTTTGCTGTTGCAAATAGCTTTATTATTTAAAAAGCAGTTCTATTGATATGTAATATCAATATTGCAATCAACAATTGTATTGATACTTCTGAGAAAGGTAGCATTTAATTCAATTTTCTTCCAATTTGCAGGTTAATAATTGTGGTCTCCAGCTGGTCATCCAGACCTCATCAATACCAGAAAAAACCAAACCAGTAATTATTACCTTTTCTTGGATAGTAGTATTAACAAATGTAGTTGTATGATACAGACACATTTGTATGCTTTCAAATAGGAATTACCTTTTCAGTACTCATCTGTTGACTTACAATATCGAATGTATCTCATAATATTTTGTTATTTTATTTAACCCTATTAAAAACATGGGGTTGTACTATAGCCTGCCATAAGCTTTATATATATATAAATAAATCATATATATATGATTTCTTGATCTTCTGTCTGTACCTCTCTCCTCTAATTCCTGAGAGCTGTTAGTACTGAGGTTGTGTTTGTGTAAAGATATTATTTGCATTTGAAAACCCTAACATTTGTCTATAATATTGTGTTACAGTTTGAATTCAGAATAAATAAAGAGCAGTCATCTTTCCACAATAGGCTTCTGCAGCATGATCTGGAAAAAAACTACTCGGGAAGACAAGGTAAAATTCCAATGAGTTTGGTTTGTTTGTCTTTTGTATCTGTTTTATTCTTTAAAAAGTAAAGAAAGGTTGTATCATGATTACAAAATATAAGAATGACAGTGTTTCCTACTTGGCTACAGTAATTCAATGTAATTACTGTTGCATCGTGTCCTGAACCCACTGCTTGGCTTTTTTTCATCCTTTTTTTTCCCCTTATGGAAGAGTATTTTTTCTGCTATCTACAAAGCCACAACCTATCAAGTGCCCTACTCTATATTCCCTCAATAGTCACACAATTGTCTAAAGTAACATTTTACTGGATGTTTAACATTTTAATATGTTTAGACAAAATTAGTTTGTAATTTAGAACTGTGATATTGAGAGATAGTTGAGAGATAGTTTTTCTATTGTACTTGCATGCTCTTGGCTTTGCTGAGCAATATATTGGTGCTGTCATTGCTGTCACCAATATTTTTCAATGGATCATTTTCTAAATAAGCCAAAACTCACAGAACACATTTGTTGATTAATTTTGTAGGCATTTTTAGACATCCTCCCTTTTTTCCTCTTATATTAATGAAATGCATGAGGATGAATTTATAAATATGCTTTCAAGGGGTGCCTGTTTCTTGATAATGGAGTGAAATACCAATGATTACTAGGTGTTGTGTGCACTTACCTTTGAAAGACTTTGCATTTTTTTGTGACTCAGCGGGAGTGTTTCAATAATTTGTGCTTTATTTTTCAAGTTCTATCAACATCTATTTGATCTATGTCTTTAAATTTATCTGAAGTTCTTTAAGTTCAGATACTGAAACTGTGAAACAGTTTTACAATTTTATGTTAAAATATCATTGGGTAATTCAAATAAAAATAAAGGCATTTACAAAATACCTGCTTACAACAAATTGTTGACAAGAATCTTTAAGTAAAGAAATAGATGTACTTTGGAAAGAGGATGTAGAGGGATATAGTCATAACATCAGGAAAGGAACTGATAAATTGTAGTACTGAATGGAGGCAAAAAGCCCTTTCATGCTTTACTTTTTATAAGAAAGAAAATTTTGCTTTTATCACCTGTAGTTCAAGACATGCAGCTACAGAGCAGTAGTTCATGTGTTCTCTGTATGATTTTCCAATAGATAACACGAATTTTGGGAGCAGTTCATCAATAACATTTCCTGTATTGCAACGTACTGCTGAAGAAAAAATCCTGAACTCAGACAGACTTACCCTGGAAAGGTGAGAGGGTGGCAGAGCACACGGCCCAGAGCCTCAGCCCCTGGTCTGAAGTGACCAGAGTGCCCCACTGGTGCTGCAGTCAGTGGTGGGCTTGGGTTGTTGGGTCTGTGTGTGCTGTGTGTGTGTTTCTGAGAGAAGAACTGTGTCCCATGGAGAAATGCTCTGAGAGTGTCCTTGTGATGAGTGTATCCATGCAGCAGTCACCTGAGGCAGGCAGATGTCTCATCTGAACAGGCTGTTCATGTGATAGCTGAAGAAAAACTTAACAGAGAGTGAGGCCACATCTCTTGGAATTTTAGTGTGGTCACAACACAAAACTTCCTTGTAGGTTCAGTGTAACAAGCAAATCTCTAATAGGAGAGGGGTTCAGAAAATTTTGGAAGTATTTCAGCTGTGTTTTCAGGCTAATTTTTTAATAGGCAGGAGTTTCTGCTTTATCTATAAAATTTAATTAACAAACTTAATTAATGCTGTCTTAACCAAGATGATATACTTTTCTCTGTTCAGTCAGAGTGAGTGAGCAGCAGGTGGATTACTGATTTGTTACTTACTTGTGTATTCTGTTTTTTCTTTTTTCTTCCAGGCAAAAACTGACAGTGTGCCCAATTATCGATGGGGAAGATCATCTTCGTCTTTTGAATTTCCAGCATAACTTTATAACTCGTATCCAAAATATTTCTAATCTTCACCATCTTGTTTTCTTAGATTTATATGATAATCAGATTGAAGAGATAAGTGGGGTTTCAACTTTGAGATCCCTCAGAGTCCTTCTGTTGGGAAAGAACAGGTAAAAAGCTAACTAGGGCACTCTACCTCCTATGGTGTAACAACTGTGATTTCCCTTTGCTTCTGATGCAGTTTTCAGTTTGTGATGTTCTGTCATACCAGTGAGACCAGCCCTAGGATTAGCTAAGTGTCAGGGATCCCACTGAGGAAGCACACAGATTTTGTGTGTCATGTCACAACTTCCTTTCTTAGTAAATTTAAGCAACATTTCCAAAGTACTTCACGTGTTCCCATATAATCTTCTATTCTGATTGATTATTAAATATGTTCTTAGATTTGTGTGGCATGTTGTGTTTCAGATCAAATGTACTATTCATTGATTATTTATAACCTATAAAAAATATTTCTACCTGATGTATTTATCTGGGAAACATACCAGACAGATGAGTCATGGATTTTAATGTTTATTTATTGCTTTTAGTCCTGTAGCCTTTAATTTTTTTAATTTAATACATGTGTCTGTGGAATTGCTCACACATCTAAAGGCTGTGCTCTGACTTTTTAAATTTTCCTCATTTTCTTATATTCAGTGAGAACTAGTGGCCAGATTTCAGTTATGTGCAGATTATAAAGAGTTTACCTCCTAGATCAGCCTGTGTTCAAAACCGACAAGTTTCAATAGTGCCATATGTAACTAGAGCTAAGAGCTTTTGGATTAAAAATCTCACCTGTAGAAATCACTTTTGTTTATAGGAAAATGTGGGTACTACAATTTTCAAGTGCTTTGAGGAATTATTTTCCTTATCATAACCACCCTGGTTGCAGTTTACCTTAGGAGTGTGGTGTTGAGGTGGTTGGGACTTGGCCCACTGGTGAGTGAGTGGCTACACATCAGACAGAGTTGTTAGCAACTTATTTCCACTTGGCCTGTGTGTGATCTTTGATTACTCTCAAAGCAAATGCTTAATACATGTGTTTAATGTCATCAGCCAGTAGATGATGCTGTTGGGTATATGATAGCCTAGGTTTGGAATCTAACAAAATATGACAGGACAGAGAAGTTTTAAGACAATGAAATTTTTGACTTCAGTTTCTAGTGGAGCAAGCATTCCATCCTTTTCTTTCTAGAAGAGACCCATAAATTCTGCTGCTATTGAATTATTGACAGTTAGAAAGGAAGGTGATAGTCTTGAAGTCATTTTCATTTATCTATCTTTTTTTTTTCATGGTTCAAGATGTTGTTATATTTCTGTTACTCTTGTTAGTCAGAAAAAAAAAGGCTTTATTTTGTATTGGCTGGAAAATGAAAGATACTTTTAATCTAATATTAAAAATAATTGTCATAATCGAAATCTTGCAGAATAAAGAAGATCTCAAATCTGGAGAACCTAAAAAACCTTGATGTTTTAGATCTTCATGGAAATCAGGTACAGTACAATAACTTGATTGCTTATGTTTGTTGTGTAGGCATCCTGTATTTGCTGTGTCTTTTACCAAAGTATTGTTTCATGAAGGGGGACTGGTGGCAAGTTTGCAGCTCTTGAGGTCACAGAAGTCAGTAAGTTAATAAAGGTGTCATGATGTTTATTTTGAATCTTTGTAGCAGTCTGTTAAGAACATCTGTGCTTTCAGTGTTGTACTTGAGGCAGGTTACAGTGATTAACATGCTGAGCTAGCTGAGTGTGATGGCACTCCTACCTACACAACAGTAACCTGCCACAAGCAGTTGTGCTGTAGTTCCAGTAACACACCCAGAACTGCTATAAAATTTTCTGGTATGATTGATTGCTGTTTCTACTGTTGGTGGTCTGACAAAACCAGATTCCCTACATACATATAAAAGAGAAGAAAAAGACAAGTTAGCCCTGTAGGGACTATAGGCCATGCAATAAGTTTGTGGCTTCTTTAAATGCCATTAGTCAAACAATGAGCACGTTGTACAGTGGCAGAGGCACTCTAGGACCAGGGGATGGCATTGCCCTTGGAGTCTTGGCCATCTCCAAATATATCCATTCACAAGTGTTTGCTTGAACAACACAGTCCTTTTTGTATTGCTGTTGGAAATTTGATGGGGGTTCTGTTTTTGATAAAAATACTTGCAGACTAATGCTACAGCTGTGGCAGTCAGCAACTTTCCCAGCACAAATGAAGGAATCACTAATGAAAATGAAACACATCTTGCACAATTCTTACAAGTGATGTAGATCTGACTTTTTTTTTTAAGTATCTATATAACTATTTACATTAATTGCAACTTTATTAGGAGTTTTAGGCTGGTTGTTGCTGGATCAACTTCATAATGATAGGCTTACTTTGACACAAGAGAATGTAACAAATTACCCTATATCAGGAATTAACATTAAATCTTGGAGTTTAGGAAGTTATTTTGATTTCCAAAATGTTTTCATCATTTCCAAACATTTGTGCCCTTTACATCTAAATTTAGGGAGTTATTACCTTTTTTGGTAGATTTAGTGTATTTTTCATGTCAAGACCAAATAAAGACTATGAACTTATCTTCCATAAATAAATTATCTTTCTCTTCCTTTTTAGTTGAAAGATAAGCATGTTTTCCTGTTAAAGTTCTTTTTTTCCCTGCCTCTGAGGAATTCAAAATTTATAACACCAATCTGCCATCCCATAGTATTAGTTATTTTTGAATGCTTAATGAAGAAATGAAGGGAAGAAATGTTGTGTTTGGGATACATCTTAGTGGACTAGTGCCTTGTTTTGAAGGCTGGGTTTTGTTGTTGTTTGCTTATACAACACTGAATAAGGGAGCTCCTTTAACTGTTTAAATTTCTGGGGTTTTTATTTTTGGCAGCCTTCTTGTCTATCTTAAAAGGTATTTCTTCTACATTACAAATTTCTGAAGAACAGACTTCAGCAGCATAATTTGCTTTGAGAACTTCAAAATCTGGTTCTCATGTTTAAGAATGTAGCAGTTTAAACAACAGATCAGAAAATTGGAGCCTGGCTTATCTCAGTGGTGTTCAGCAAAAGGAAAATAATAATTGAGCATTGTGATGTCCAGTGCCTCATATGTTACCAGTGATCCCAGGTGAACACTGAACAGTTAAATCCTGTGCACAAGTTATAGGCAAGGTACTGGAAATACACTAGATTAACTGTTATTAACACAGGAATATGATACAATTCTCTGTGTCTATTCAGGGACTCTACACATGAATTTTATTCTAGAATGCTTTGAATATGAAATGTTATTGGAGTAATTTCCTGTGTTCTGTTTAATTCCATGAATCATTTTTCTTTCCAGAAGTTCAAGCTGTAAGTAAAATTATGCAATCTGATTTTTTCATGTATGAACTTCTTTTCATTAATCTCAGATTTTTTTTAAAAGATGCAGCTTTAATTAGTGCAATTTAATTGTTGATGGGTGATTATTTGGTGCATAAAAACCTTTTTCTGAATTCTATTTCATAGTGAATTATTCAAAGATAAAAGTGAATGAGAAAATAAATAGTGTTTTTGTTCAGTATTTACAAGTAGACTTTGACTTGTGTACTAATTTATTTTTTATTTTATATCAGTATTATTTGAAACATCCAAAAAGAAGTGATAATAGCTTGTATTGTTTCTTACCTAATAGCCCATATGAAAAGCTGGTGTACCTTCATGTGTGCATGCATAATTGAAACAGGCAATTCAGTAGAGTTAATCTTAAAGCTTAGCAAAGTGGTAAAGAGTATTTCTATATGGTGCTGATGAAATCATTATCTTTGCAATAGCAGTGAAATACCAGGATTAATATTCTAGACTGTGGCATTCTAGCTGGGCAGACATCAGCAGAGGTCTGTGCCCTTCATGCCAACTGTCTGCTCCTGGGGTTGCTTTTGAAAGTCTCTCTGTATAAATATCTTTTAAGTAGTGGCATTTTCTGTTCCTCTTGCTGTAATATTTTTGTATAAAATGCACATAAATAGTTTAATTAGCAGTTGAATCAAAAGTTTAAGATGCTATTTAATTTTGGCCTTGCTCTATACTTTTGTATGCTTTTTAACTGAGAAATTGTTGAAATTTTTCTGATAGCAGCATATTCCAATCACAGACTTACATGTACATATATATGTGTATGGATATATGGAAATTACCAACAAAATGGGACATTATCAAACTGGTGAATTATGGCCACCTCACCTCTTCTGCTCCAGGAGCTGCTGGACACTGTGCAGGATGGCATGGCCCCAGCTGCCCTGGTGCAAAGCAGCAGGAAGTTCCATGGCAGTGGCACCAGGCACTCTGTGCTGCTCTCTTGGCACTGTTGGCCCCCTGGAGGAGGAAGGTGTGCCTGGGCACTGGCTGCTGAAGGGGGCTCACAGTGGTGCAGAGATGTTCATTCTAGCTGGCAGGGAATGATTCATGCTGGTAGCTCTTTGCACTGCCAAAACCTTGGGGCTGCTAAAGTATTTTCCACAGGAAAAGCTGCTGGCTTCTTTCTGCCCCCCAGCATGGGTTTCACTGAGAGTCCCCTGCTGTCCCTCGTGCAGTGGCTGTTCCTTCTCCCTGGGTGGAGGTCAGGCATAAATTCTGCAGAGGTGCTGGAGGACAGATCCACAGTGCCATGAGAAATAATTATCTGGATAGAGAGCCTTGTGTGGATCACTGGGAAATACTAACAGCAGGAAACAAACCCATACTCAATCATCAAAGCAAGAATCAATGCCTCTGTAAAATACAATAGTGTTTCTAGAAATAAAAACTAAAATTAAGGAGCATTAGCTATTACTGCTCTTTTTATGCCTCTTTTTTTGTTTTGTTTTTTGCTTTGTCAATATCACCTGAGTCTTTAAAATAAGTTATTAAGTATAAAAACAAGCTGCCTGCTTACTGTAATTCAGTCTTTGTTAGATCCCTCCCTTTTCTAATCCCAGGAAAATAAATGAGTGTCTTTGCAGAGAAATTAAGGCTCAAACATGCACAAAATTCCCCCATTTTGGCATACCACAATACCATCAGTGTTGTCTTGGTTTTATGTCTTCAAGGTTGCTGCTGCAGAGCAGCACAGCTGAAATAACCTGGTTTCTAATGGGATAGAAGGAAATGCTGACTGAATTTTACTGCAGGATGGCAAGAAAAATGTGGGTGAATACCTGTTCTGGATCTCTGAGTATCATGGTTTAGAGAAACACAGGCACACTATGTATGAAGCTGATAGTTCATGTATACTTTTAGAAAACATGTGTCACATATATAAAAATATATTTTATATCCTTATAAAACACAGTGTGCATGTTTATTATGTCTCTGACAGATTGCTAAAATAGAAAACATTGGTCATTTAAGTGAACTGAGGGTGTTAAACCTTGCCAGAAACCTCCTCACTGTTGTAGAAAACCTGAATGGGCTGGATTCACTCACAGAGCTCAACCTCCGTCACAATCAAGTCTCTGCTATAGTAAGGACCAAAACTCTTGCCCTTCTCTTTTTTCTTTTTCATTTCCTTTTCTTTGTTTTTGACAAAATGAGTGTTAACTGTAGCTTCTTTAAACCCTATCAGTGTTTCAGATTTTTGACATCTGATGTTTCCTCATGTTGTGTTGGTTATATTGTTCTGCTGCAATACTTAATTGTACAACATACAGGTGAAACAAACACAAACATTCATTTTGGTGTTATTTTCTTTGAATGTGTTCAGGGAGACTGGACTTAGAGGACCTTTAAAGGTCCTTTCCAACCCAAACTATGCTATGATTCTATGATCACTTGTTCTGTTTCAAATCTTGAAAGCTCATGATGTTCCCTGGGGAGGGGAAAAGAGATTGTGTGGTTCTAACGTGCAAATTTAGGTACTCTTCTTCCATACATGTTCATGTTCTAGAAACAATCTCAATTTTTGTAGGTTAGCTAAGCCATAAAGTCATGTTAAATTTCATCTTAAGAATGTTTCTGGAGCATATGCAGAGAAAAAAGGTATTGATTGTAAGAGCAGAGTTTTCTAATGGAAGCTTTAACCCAGCATTTTAAGTCTTCATATTCTAAAAATTAAGATTTTACTTTGCAATTGGAGTTGTAGTTCAGGTATGGCAAGTGGATTATTCTAAGAAGAGCTTTTTAAAATAGAACAGATTACTTAGATAGCTGCTTTTCTCTGGCCTGCATAATTCTTTTCGTTCCTGGTCCCCTGTTGTTGCTGAGCCTTTCTTTTCTTCAGTTTCTGCCATTTGCCAAATAGGAATTGTTTTTACATCTTAAAAATGAGAAATTTCTGCTCATTGCTGACTCTGTCACTGTACCTTCCCCTGTGTCAGTGATGTTATCTAGAATTCTCTTTGCTTGTAGCTTCTGCCTTTTCAGTCCTCTCAGGTGCAACTTGTACTTTCTGCTTGCTTTCAGTGTCCTAAGTGGAGAGTCAGCATGAAATTTAAATTAGTGACTTAGAGACTTGGAGTCTGTGCTGTATCTCAATGTTTTAGTGTTTCCTGGCAGAGACAGTGTTTCAGAAGATGATGTTCTCTTCAGGGAAATATTTATTTTACTTGTTGGCTTGTGGGTTTTTTTAACTGTTGTTGTTGTCAGTATCTTTTTGGGTTTTTACTCTGATTAAATTCTAATGAAATAGAGTTTTGTGAGTGTGGATTGTTTTGTTTTTCATTGAATGTTAATTTTAGCAAGTATGGCACTAATGCTGTGTTTAAGTTTTGGACACATTATACTGTCTAAAACTCTAAGTAAATATGGCTCTTAAAATATTCTTTCATATGTTCATGATAGGTGTTGTCTTCTTCTGTGTGTACAACAATGTGCATGTGTTTCTTATATTTGTTTGGTTTTTTTAAATGAAAGCTACATTCCTTTTGTATGGAAATTCACATTTTGCTGCAATAGGAAATTACTAAAATGCAGAAATATGGAAAGAAATACCTCATTCTATGGAAAGAATACCCAAGATAGATTATTTCTGGAGCACTCGAGCAGCTGAGGGAGGGGGGTTATATTTTATTTAAGATGAAGTTTAAGTTCATGTGGTTGACTGTGCAGGTGGAGGAGATATTTTAATCATGATGTTGTTATGCTGTTGCACTTAGCTGCAAAATATTCACTCCTAAGCTCATGAAAAGAATTTGCTTACTTTGCTTTAGTTACTCAGTTACTGTGACAATGCTCATTATGAATCAAGCTTTTTAAACTTGATTATTCCTTCAGATGAAAGAATCTAAACTCAATTTTAAAAATAAATTGCTGTTCTAAAATAATTTTAAAAATAATTCTGTTTTAAATAACTTTGCATTTTTTTGGTGAACCTTCCTTATTTTTCACATACCTCCCTTTGACCTGCCCTAAGTGTATTGTTGTTGGGTAGGAAAAATGATGATCTCATTTGTCAAACAAAAATAAGGTTCCATACTGAACTCTCTGCCCATTGCAGTTTACTGTATTCAATAACTAAATTCATCCAACTGGGTTGTAGTTGGTTTGGGGAATTAAATCTGCCATCATCCTTTACAATCCACTGGCCTTGGACTACCAGTTTAGGGACTGGTTTTGAGCTTTCCACCATAGACTGGAAAACCTTGAATAATAAGTAGTTATTTTTGTAAGAATGATTCAAAGCTGTAGGATTTGCAGGGACAGTCGTGGGGCTTGGTTTATAGAAGAAGAGTCTTAGAGGATTGAAGTGCATTCAGGGAGTCTGACTTGTCAGGAGAATAGCAAACAGAATCAATGATGACAAAGTCACATGAGTCACATGGCATCAAAAGCACAGATCTATGCATCCCATGAGTTATGAAAAATCTACTTATTTCCCATCCAGTTGTGAGCTGGGGCCTCTGTTAGGAAGATTATTTATGTTTTTCTTTGAAAGACTGACCTGCTTGTTTAATTTGAGGTACTAAAAATTTAGAGTTTTGGCTTTTGTCATCTGCAAAGGAGGACTGGTCAAGGTGTTCACCATTTTGTCAAGAAAGAACTCTTGCCCTCTGTCCACCTCACTATAAGACTTTGTATCAAAATTGAAGTAGCTGGAGCTTTTTGGGATTTTCCTGCCGCACCTATGAGATTTGAAACTTGTAAAACAAGATAGCAACGCATCATGCTATGAAATTTGCCTTGAGGGGTAATTTCTTTGTGTTCCCCAGTGATTAGCTGAAATCATTGCTGCTTAAGCATTACAGTGCACAAGCCTATAATGCCTGTCCTCACATGTGTGCCCACCCTTTTAGGCATGAACACCAAGAAGCCCTAGGGACAGAGGGGATACACAAATGCACCTGTTGTGAACTCTGTCTTTCCATGGTCTGATCTGGGAGGACTCAGGACAGCTCTGACCCAGGAGTTTTGCACCTGCAGACTTGATCCCTTAAGCCCTTTGTTCTAACATGTCAGCCTACCCAGTGGTGACTCTCAGCAGCTTTGCTGGCTAAAATTCAGTTTTTCATTAATAGGAGCTGCAGGGTTTGTTAGAGCTGCCTTTGTTTACCTGTTTGGAATGAACTGTTCTGGACTGCTATGTAGTCATGTCAGAAATCTGATGAAGGGAGGAAGAGTTGTAGGCTAAAATGAAGGCACTGAGCTCTGATGCTCCTTTCCCTTTCCCAGGTTTGTGTCCTCTGGTTTCAAGCTGGAGTGTGGCCATTGTTAGGGTAAGGAGATGCAGACTCAGAACTCAGGGGTTAGGTGTGAATGGCTCGTGGGTCCCTGCAGTCTCTGCTGTCTGTCTGATGTGGATGTATATTTCATAAATGAAGTTTGATCTTACTTAATACGTTTCATCTTACTAATATTTGAGCTATTTGCTATTTAGAGGTTTTCTGCAAAGCCTTTTAGTGCAATATTAATTTTGAAGTTTCTTATTCTGTAAATTCATACCTTCTTCTAAATGTTAATTGTGAAGGTTGTAAAATTGACAGAGTCCTTCAGATAATTCTCTGACTGGAGAGTCACTGCTGTTTGGCAGTGCTAATTGCACTGCTGTATTGCACCTCAAAACCCTTATTTCAGCAAGCTTTTTTTTTGCCTTTTTTTTTTTTTTTTAAAGCATGTTTATCCTGCAGCTTAAATGCTGAGAGAGCACCTTGGCTTATTTCCCAAAAGCCTGTTCAGAAAGCAGCAGCAGTATCCTCCTTTTCTTTAACATGATTTGCTTTGCAAGTGATGCAGCGTGTTCTGCAGAGTGGGATCTGCACTGAAACACTCCCTTGCAGTCTGCATTAGGGAGAGATGGAGCTGCACCATCAACACAAATCAATGTTGCAGCAAGGTTACAGCATTTAGAAATGAAAGCATTTCATCAGGCCAAGTAAAGAGGCTCAAAAGCCATTTTCATCTGCTGAATTTATGCCTATCTTTTCTTTCTAGAAAGATGTGGATACTTTGCCCTGTCTCCAGCGTCTCTTCCTCAGCTTCAACAATATATCTAGGTAAGGGGAATAGTAGTTTCCTTCCTATCAGTAATTTGAAGTTTCCTACTGGAGCTGTATTTCATGAAAATTTGAATTCAAACACTGTGAGTACAGATCCTTTTTTCCTTCTCTAACATATCAGATGAAAAAAATCAAGCCATTGTGTATTTTCTACTTTAAGTATAAAAAATTCTTGAGACCCTTTGCATTTAAATGTAGTTGTACTATGAGTATTCTCCCAAGAAACATATTTTTAATTGATTAGCATACTGTTTATAGTGGTCAAAATTAAAAGTGGATTTGTAAATAGGTTGTTTTGCTGTTAACCTAGTTATCTGTTAAAGCAGCATGATGCAAGGTACAAATTATATTTAACATTCCATCACTGTATTTCTGGAGTTATGCAAATTGCTGAGTCAGATTCTGCTTGCTATGGGTAAATTATTTCATGCCTGTATTTTACTTGTCCATGTATTAATAAAGTCTGAAAGGTATATTCATGATTCCCTTTCAGACCAGATGGCAGAAGCAAAATAGCTCAACTCACAAAGCTGGGCTTCTATAGTTTCAAGTAACTAAGAGCATTTTGTTATAAATAGAAATGTTTGTCTTCTGTGCCTTTTCATATTAATGCATTTTTGAAGTCTGCCTTTATACTCGTGCCAGTATTTGAGAAAAACCCTAAGTGCCTGCATTATCTTCACTTTGGTATGTCCTTTTTCTAATCCCTTGATCACCAGCAGCTTTCTTTGTTTAGAATCAAATAATTAAATGTGGGGTAGGGGAAGATGCTTCATGTTCTAATTACTGGAAATGCCATGCTATTCTTGTGGTATCTGCTTTCTCTGTAGAATGTACTTAGTAGCAGCTTTTATTGTAGTAGCCACTCAAACATTTTATATTGACCTGCATTATGTGTCTTGCAGACAGCTCCAACCTACTTGTCTGTGTTTCTTAGGTTCTTCAAGTACAAATGCAGTACATCTTAAATACTCATGGTTGTTAAACACTTCAAAACAATTCAGAGATGAACTGCAGGAGTCTTTCTTATGCTCTTCCCTTAGTTAATTTGCTAGTCTTTTTATTTTACATTTTAATTTGGCATAGTGAAGAGAGGGGGTTAGCATTTTGCTGCTTTTGAATCATTTCCAGAATTGAGACTTGCCTTTGTTTCTGGCTTTCTAAAAAAAGTCTCAGGTTGGCAGGAGCAAGGAGGAGACTGCAGCACTTGGCTCCCTTGCTGTCAGGGAGCATCACTGCAGTCAGGGAAATTGCCCTGTCTTTTCATGGACTTGGTGGCTTTTGTTGTAGCTTTCTGGCTGCTTTCTCATATTGTTTTATGCAAATTCATGTTATTTTTACAGTGTTCAAAGAAAGAAAATTGTTTGGAATTTTCTGTGAGGTTTTGATAGATTTCTCAAAGTTTCTGATCAGTAGCTTGCTTCTTGCTACTATATAAAAAATTCTGTCATTTATCCATGGGGACTTCAGTTGATCTATTGCTTAGGTTTCTCATAAGCTACAAATACTTATCTAGAACATATATGGAAATACATAATTCAGTTTGAGTTTGCAGCTGAAATAGATATAAAAACATCTTAATGTTAAACAAAAGATATTGCTCTTCTATAAATTTTGTATATGCATGTGGTAGATAGGTGGGCAGATATCTTTAACTCTCTATTTACCAGTCATTATTTTAAACAATACAAATGAAAAATTTCTTTTAATCACATTCAGCTTGGAGTTTTTTTAAATAATAAACTTTCACTACCTATAGCAGTTCTGAAGGCTAAGTCCCTCTAAATAATTCCTTATTTAGACTTACGTAGTAGATATGTTTTCTACCAGGGAAGTTATTAAATAGTAAATATTTAATTATTTTCTTGACCATCTGTGATCTGATGCTTGGCTTGATACTCTTTGAACTGACTGAGGAAGTTGTTTGCAACCAACCAGTGAACTGCTGTGCTCTCTCTGACCATTCCTACATCCTTTTAAATGCTTTTGTATGCTTTTCAATCACTTACCCCATTTAGTCTGGGCCATAGGGTAATTTGAAAAATTATTTTTCCTTATTTTTCCTTAAAACTACTCTGTCTATACAACTGAATTTTGTTTGACAAGCAAATTGTTGCACAAATACTCTTAATTAATTTATCTGTAGGTGCATTAAAAAAGGCCCTGCAAATGATAACAAACAACAAAATTGCCAGAACTTGGATATATTTGTTACCATTGCATTGCAATACTTTATTAATGTTCATTATTTTAAAATAGCATTTCTGAAGCAATGCTTCCATGGAAAGATTTTCTTGTTTCTATTTTTGTGTCAGTGAAAATATTTGAGTCTTAAACTGACACATACTGACATATTGAATTAATACTGCAGTAGAAGACTCAAGAATGCCAAATAGAAATTGTCACTATTTTAGGCATAAGGGTATTCCATGGGTTTAATCACTATGTTCTTTTTACCTCATACTTCAGAGAAGGACTCAGAATGCTGCTGCTTCACTGCAGAACTTTTAGTAAAAAAAAGATATATTGGCAAGATAATGTAAGCTAAAACTGAACTTGATGCTGACAGGAAACAAAGAAAGTCCTGTTTTTGGCTTCAGCCCAAACCATCTTAGCAGTTACACTCTGAAGGTGTTTATACCTGATGGCTGAATGCAGTATCTATATATAGAGCTGGTTATAAAGAAATGGGAGAAATCCCATTTTTAATTTGTCATGTGGCATAGGGAAGAGATTGCAGTAACATTTGCAGTAAAGATTTGCCACAGAGAATCAGAAAGAAAGTTATTGCTCATGTTTGAACATTTGAAACCAGGGAAGACCATTTTTTAATCTTGGAAACAAAATACATATTTTCAGTGTTACACTGCTGTCCAGGTCAGCATTATGTTGGCTTTTTCATTTAGTCTAGGTATATGGAATGAGTTGGATACAAGCTCATGTAATTTTTGTTCTTCATTTGGTTGCTGAATTGGAAACCTGAGAGAAGCAATGTTCTTAGCCTAATAAAAACAAGCAAGTACCTTTTTACTCAGCAAGATGAAAATTTATAAATGCATTGTTAAATGCTTGCACAACAGTAGGTAAAGGGGAATGAGAGGTTATGGTAGTTACATCTGTTCTCATAGGTAGTTTAGTAGTTAGAGATATGGAAAAACACAAGTTTTCTTCTTTGGAGTATTTTTGAACACAGAGTTCCCTCTCAGGTGTTCTTTCAGACTATAGTAAGTATGTTGCCCTCCTTCTCTTTTCCAGAGCTTTTCCCCTTTGTGCAATGTGCTTTTAAAAGTTGATGCAAATGTGTAGAGAAGGAGCAATTGTCTCCCTAAACAAGCAGATTAGAACAGAAGATAAATATTCCTGTGCATGTGTATCACTGGTGCAGGCTGAGCTCCAGAGTGCTCTGCTGTTAGATAATTGCTGCATTCTGATATGAGAAGGAGAAGTGGGTTTGAGTCCCTTTGGCAGAGGGGAGACCTGGATGCAGGACTAGGAGCATGAACACAAGATGGAAAACTGATCTATTCCTAAAAGCTTTCCAGAAAACGCTTTCTGATAATTTAGCCCAAATTTGTGACTTATTTGTGTTGCTGAAATGATAATTTTAGCTAAGATAATTTATGTAAGAAGAAGAAGAGGAATGAGAGATGGTTGTGTCCTGCAGGAGAAGGCCTTTTGGAAAGAGAATCAGACATTCCATGGAGAAGATTGCCTGAGGCAGTGTGACACAGCACCATCCAGAGCTGCTTTGTGTTTGCTGAGCAGGTTAAAGGCTCCTTTGTGGTGAGCAGAGCCTGGAGAGACAAAGCCTTGAGATGTGGCCTCTGATTGCTGTGGAGTGCCATGGGGCTCTGTCCCAGCAGTCTGAGCGCTGGGAAGCAGCAGAAGCTTGGTTGGAAACTGTGCAATCTGTTTGGGAATGTAGCACATTAAAGCTTTAATTAGTTTAGGATTAGGATACCAGTGTGACAAGTACAGTATATGAACTTTTCTATGTGGAATTTCTAAAGCTCAGGTTTTTTGTATGCATATACAAAGATGTGAAAACAGTTTTGTGCACTGCTGTTTCTTTCTAAAACTGATCTGCTAATAGGGCAGCTAAAGGCAGGATAAAGCAAGCACATCTGGTTTTAGGTCTAGAGTGAATGTTGATTCAGTCTCAATGCTGAAGCAGTGAGAATTTCAAAGCACAGCAGTATGTGTAAGTGGAAGGTCTTGAAAACACACTAGCAAGCTTTCAACTTTTCTGTCATTTCCTGAAGAAACTGTTTTTATTCAAAATCTGTAAATCATATGTAATGAAAGAAGTACTGTTTGGTTAAATGTTTAGTGGTAAGTACTCAGAATAAATATATTTAATGCTTTTAAATATATTTAAAAATAATTTTGAAGACCAAAGATTTTCAAATTTTCAAAAAAAATATGTTCTAGCTCAATGGAAATTCAGACTATGGGGTTTTTAGTTCTAACATGTTTGAGTTTGCCTTACTAAATTCTGTGTCATTTGGGAAGATTATCTTTTATCTTTAGGACATATTGAGTATATATTTTATGTAATATGTCAGACTGATCCTCCAAAAATATGCTTCCATAAGCTGTTTTCTGGAAAGGAAACAGGATCATAAAAAGAAACAGAAAATAATAATTGAGCTTTAAATACATGTACAAAACAGCCAGTTCTTCAGATATCTTAAGAACTTTCACTGTCTTTGTCACAATTTACCCACAGTTCACTTTCCATTGGTTTTTAGGTTGTTTTCTTGCACCAAGCAGAAAGAAACCTCTTCCCCTTTCCTGTCACTTTTCTGCTGTGCCCTTTGTACAGTGCAGGAGCTCCTTGCATTCTGCACCAATTGCACCACAATAGCTATTGCAACTTTATTCAGTGACAGTCTTTGAAAGGAACATCTGTACTGCATGTGTTTTCTGATCACTAAGCTCAGGGCATACTTAAGCTTTGACTTGACTTAAGGCAGACTTGACTTTGGAAGGCCAAAGGACATAAGGATGGTGCAGTGTCACACATACCTTGTAAACATGTTAGGGAGTCTTATTTATTACCATAAATGTTCAGCTTTTTAAATTAAAATCCAGTCAAATAGTTCTCTGATGTTTAAAAGTACTAAATATCTGAGATGCTTTCTTTTCACATTTCATTTTCAATGAAAGGAACACTACAGAGGTTATGCATCTCTAAATGCATTTTACACAGCTCAGTTACTTTTTGGCAGGTAACCAAATGTGATGTGTTCTAAGAAGCCAGCTGGTTAGAGTTTGTAGACTGAACTCAAACTAATGGACTAAGCTGTTTTGAAGATTATGATGCTTTTGTAGTTGTTTTACTTTCAATATTAATGATGATTCAAACACCTAGGATCATTCTGTGATATTTGTGGTTGGCTTTCTCTCCTTTTACTTTCCAGGTTTTCCATGCTGCCTTTGATGGCAAACACATCTATTATATTTCTGAATATGAATTTATATGTATCATATTTTACCAGGGAGTTTGATTTAAATACTCCTATAGTTCTCCTTATTCTGGATCTCTTTTTACCTGTATGTGAAGGGAATAAAAAGTTAGCCAGCAGCAGCTGCTGGTATTTCAGAACACTTGTATTTGTCATATACAGTATTGATAGGTGGAAGTGTTTCAGTACAGTTAAATATTTATGTTCTGTCCTTAAGAAATAAAATCTTCCACCTCAAATTTATTCCTACTCCGTGACATTAAAACTTTAAACTCTTTTGGTTACAGTTTTGAGGATATTCTGTGCCTTGCTGATTCCTCATCCTTGTCAGATATCACCCTTGATGGCAATCCAATAGCTCAGGAGACATGGTACAAACACACTGTTCTCCATCATATGATGCAGCTCCGACAGCTAGATATGAAGAGAATCACAGTAAGAAATTTCTGTTTTCATCAAATTTCATAGATACTTCAAAGCAGAAGTAGAATGCAGGCATTTCTGTGTGTATGTGTATATTAAAAAAACAAACTTTTTTTATTAATTTGGTATGGAATTGAATGGTGAATAGACATTATAATATTTAAAACTGTAACCCTTTCTTAAGGGTTTGCATTTTTACTTCATTTAACATGTTTATTTTGAAGTGGTTAAACTCCAGCAGCAAATGCTGTGTGTTCAGCTGACATGAGAGAGCCTGCAAAGCTTTTGGTTAGAATTTTCCTGACAGTCTTTGTTGTTTTGTTGTGTAGCTGAGAAGGAACAGCACATTTCTTCCAAAGGAGTGGTTTGTTTGCCCTAAAACTGCTGTAATTGGTATCTTTTATTTAAGAATTTAATTGGTTTCTTTATTCAGCCTCTCAAGGGAGATCTGGTGATCACACAGGTTGTGTCTGTCTGTATTTCTCTCTTCCTAACCTACTCTCCCTGATGATTTCTGTTTCTGCTGCTCAAACTCAAGTAACCTTGATAAGGGAGAGAGGACTCAGTCTCCTACAGGCCTCTTGAAAATCCACTCCAAGGGATGAAGGACAATCACCAGGGTCTTACCATAATGCCACCAATTTTGTCTTTTAATATAGAATATAAATTCTTCTGTGCCTACTCAAAAGTGGTGTGTAAGCATGATTTCTTACCAGAGAAACCTGTCCAGCAGCAAGCAACAGTGATACAGTGGTGAATTTTTGGACCAGGTTTTGATATATACACCTTCTTTTAAATGCTCATTTGCTTTGTACCAAGGCTGTACTGCATTGTGAACTGCAGCTGATGCTTTTTCATAGAGCCAGTTAGGCTGAAAAATGTAACATGTGTGTGGAAAACATTAATGTTAAAAAGAAAGTGCTTTGGGACATGAGAGTTTTGCTTCCATCACTGAAAATACTAAATATTGTTTTTTCATGGATATTCTAAGCTTTCCTAAACTAGGGGGTTTTATATTTTATACTGACTTTAATAATGACTTAATAATAACTTTTATTATGACTTTATACTGACTTAATAATTGCAAATTACTTTGCTTTTAAAAACTTATTTTATCAGTGTTATTTCAGAAACTTGAGTTGCATAAAGAAAATATCTCTCCATCTCCCCATTTTAACCCTTGTCAAGAGGAGATGGATCCTGGTGGAAATATCAGTGATAGGGAAAATGGTAGAAAGAGCTCAAACTCCTTCTTAGACTCTATGAGATCTGTATGGGGGAAAATTGTCAGAAATTCACAGCCATGGGAAGAACTTAATCTGGGTTTGCACCTTGTTAAACATCAGAGAATCTACCACAAAGACACAAAGCCATAGAAAACCAGGCTTCAGTTGTGCTGCTCATAAACCTACTTGTAAAAATAATGTGTTTTACTCTTTATTTGCCTTCTGTTTTTTGAGTCTTTTAACATTTTTCTCCACGTAGAGGGTGCTATATATTTTCTCCAATAAAAACTGCTACCCAGATAATCGTATGACTTAAGAAACTGGGATTTAAAGAAAAATAACAAGTATCATGGGATCTGTGGTAAAATTAAAGAGCTGGCAATCCCAAATGCAGCTATTCTGCCTAGCACTGCAATATGTTGTTGCTGTCAGCTCTAAGGGTAGATCTAACCTAGTGGGGGAATGGATTTCCAGTGTGGAGCATGTGACTTGTACTCTTGATAAGTGTAAGAAATGAAACTCTAATTACATTTATAGGATCTTTTCTTCATCAGCCTGAAGAACATTTGGGCATTTTGAACTTTAGCATTGCTTTGTCTTGTAACAAAACTGAGAGCTGGATGATTGCTGGGTTTTTACCTGACTAGGAATTCTTCACTAACTTCTTCAGAAGTTTTCTGCTCAAGAACTGAGTTTTACACAATTGTTTGTTCTGATTTTAACTTTTCTTTTACTGAATGATGTTGTCAAAAGTTTTTATGAGACTTGGAAGCTTCATTCATGTTTGGTTTTAAGAATAGAAACACTTTGGTGCCAGGCTTTTTCCACAGGATTCCCTGGAGAAAGGAGCCCTGGTGCAAAAATTTAATGACAACTGTCTCTGCCTGAGGGCACTATTCAGAAACATAGAAACATTTTTATTTGCCATGAAAACCAAAGACACTGTACTTGGAATAAAACATTTGTGCACTGTAATTATTCTTTAAGTTGGGGTAGATTGCCTTTAGGTAAGGGATTGGATTGAATTATGACAACTCTTAAACCCTGACATGTGTGCAAGCTGATGTTCTCTTAGGCCACCTCATTCCTAAGCCCTTTTTGAATGTCAGATTCAAGCTCTTGAAGCACTGAAGCACAGCCATACTTGGGATAAAATCAGTGAGGTTAAGCACCTATAATGCTCTTCACTTGTTCATTGTCCAGACAAGATGATTTTCAGCTGAAAACCCAATCCCTTGGTGTTGTGTATCTAAAACATCAGCTCAATGGAAATCTTTTGCTTTCTTGACCTTTGGTAGCTCAGTCTAAAGGCTTAAAGACTGGGCAGGAGGCTGAATTATTGTAGCTGAATGGACTCCTGTTCACTTGTGTTCCTGTCAGTAACTCACACTTCCACCTCACCTTAGCTGCAAGGTGATGGGACTGGATGAATGGAATGGGCTTGTGCAGAGCCTCACAGTCAGAGCAGGCTCAGGTTGCATTTGTGGTTATTTACCTTGGTTAACCTGGCATATTGGTTGTTTTTCTGGGCTCTGAAGCTTTTTCACCCTGCTTTGTATGTTGAACTTTTTCAAAAGTGGGCCTGCCCAGTGGTGCTTACAGTTTGATTGGGACCTATTTCTTTTTTTCCACTCTTTGCTAATAGTAAGCAGAGACTGTCTGCAGATATGTAATAAAGTATTTAAATAAGATTGAAATATGTACATATGCTTTACTAAGGAGTTACATAACCAGGAACATTTGCTATCCATCACTTCCAACAGACTTCCTCAAGAGAATTTGCTAAGTGTGTATGTATTCCTGTACGTGTGTGTAAATATGATATATAATGCAAATTTTTTAAAATATTGCCAGATTGAAACACAAGCTGTGTCTTCTTAGCAGCAAAGCTTTGGATTTTTCATTGAGGTTTTATACGTTTTAGAAGCCTAAAGTAAGAGAGCTGTGTTTGGTTTTGATTATTTGCTTAGACATTTCATTGCTGATCAGGGAGTAGGTTCTACTGCTCTAGCCAGAATAGATTCCATCACTACCATAAAGTGTTCTGAGGTCTTGGAATCTTTTGGGTTGCTGTGACCCCAAGAATGTTAACAGTCTCTTTTCCTAGCCTGAGCACTTCAAGAATGAGTCTGAGCTCTTCATTTCTCAGTCTCAAGGTTGTTTATTGTGTCTTATCTATAAAAAATTTTCTCCTGCACTGCTGAGGTCTGTCCAGCAGGACAGTTCCAGGCACTCTGCCTGCCCCCAGGGCGGTGTTATGTCTTTATACTGAAAACTATGTATACAATGTTTACAATTACTTTCCAATACCCATCACCTATGTTAGACAGTGAGCTTCTTCTACTCTAAACCAATCTGTGAGTGCCAACATCACAGCAGAAGATGGAGGCCAAGAAGAAGAAGGAGAAAGGCTGGACATGCCCAATTCCCTCCATCTTGCCTCCTGAACCCCCATAACAGAAACCCCAAAATCTACTTTTCCACCCCCTGATAACTTCACTATTATTCTGCCTAAACTGTTGTGGCTTGCTGATCTTCATATAAGGTTGGTGATTGCTCATAATCAAACCCACAGGTGTTTTGGGCTCTGTGCCAGGGCTTCTGAGCTCCCTGGCAGGGGTCCTGGCTGTCCTGGACAGCCAGAGGGATGTCCTGGGTTCCCACACCGAGGGGGTTTTTTTAGGGAGGGATCCCTAACGGTTTTATTTTTCTTTCCACTGGGAAATAAGACACTTAAGTGTGACTTAAATGGTGTCATTTGTTGAAAGGACCTTGTTTGAAGAATAGCAATGCGGTGGTGAGGAGGAGCGCATCCGCTGCGGTCCGTGCGGATCCTCTCCGCTTCCCTGGGGTTCCTCCCCCGGTCAGGCGGGCAGGGATGGGCGCTGCTGCAGAGCGCGCGGGGGCCGGCAGGGGGCGCCGTGGGCACGGCAGAGCCCTCAGGGACAGCGGCGGGAACGGCCCGGGAACGCGTCCGGACAGAGGCACGGACAGAGGCACGGACATGACACAACCGGCGGGACAGCGAGGGGAAACGAGTGACACAGGGAGAGGGCTCCAGCTCTTCCCAAACCCTTTCTAAAAGAGAAGGGATGACAGTAAAAATGAATTGTGGCAAGGCTGGGCAGGGGTTTGTTTCATTACTTGTTCAGTGCTCTGGGTGGTTTTTTTGTGGGCTCCTGGGGAATGTGTTTTTTAAGATGAATCAAGAATGCATATGTAGATGTAACCCTTGATCTTTGTTCAGAGATTTTCTCTATCACTCTGCCTTTACAAATACTGAGTAAAGCTAAGGATGTATTTTAATTTTTGGCTAAGCTAGCTTATTTTAGAGAAGGATTAGTGTTTCTAAAATGTCTATAATTAGGATAAACTCTTGATCAAGTTAAAAAAGCCTTATTCAGTTAAAACTCTTTTTAGAATGTAGTTTGCATTAGTTGATTTTGATCTTTGTATGGAGACTGTGTTGGCAGGGAAGGCCCAGGACTGACTGCAATGGGGGCAGCAGACCCTCGTGCATGGGAGGCAGTCATAAGGTACACATCTGGGCTGGATTAAGGGACAGCTTTGGGAGGGAAGATAGAGAAAGAAGAGATTTGTAGAAGCTGAGAGAAAACTGATTAGGGAACTTTTGCTTTAAAACTTGGGAAAAAACTACAGCAAATTGTTTTGAAATGAATAAAATTAATGAAGGTTAATTGTCTATTAATGGAATTTTGTTATCAAGCTCTCACCTCCACCAGTGTGAAACACAACACCAGCTCAGTTAGATTGAAACTGAGTCTCTGATGAATGGCCAGATGTTTTCTGCCAAATAGAATGGATAGTTTCTTCTTCCTCTTCCTTGGTGGTAAAACTAGCTTACATTTCTCTTCTTTCTACACACCAGTTTAATATAATCAAACTTCTAGGGAACAAGAAAGTCCCTTAGTTTAAGACTTCTAAACATTGTTATTTGATATGATCAATGTGTTGAAAAGTCATCAGAGAAGATGAAGACAGAAAAATTATAAAAAGCTTGTTTCTTTAGGAAGCCTGGTTTAAAAGCATAGATACACAGTCAAATGAAGCAATTTAATTAAAAAAAAAAAAACTGAAACAAATCTAACCTGCTCTCTAAAGAAAGATATCACTAATGTAGTTTGCTAGTGTTTATCTTTTATTTTAAGATTTGTGGTTTTTAGACAAAACACTAACAGAATAATGTAATACATAATTGGGATAATATTTAAAGTTCTTAAAATTCTGGATCATATAGTGAGGAACAGTACATTTTTATTTGCATTATTAATGATGCATTCATATCTGTGACATATTGTCTGTGTGGGGTTTGTTCATGATTTCCACAGCCTGCCTGAACCCTGAACCATCCCATTCCCTGCTGGATTTCATTGTGTGATGTTTTGTTGGAGTGGCATCTAGAAGGCCTTCTGTATCCACATGCCCTTTTATTTTGTCATTCAGTTACTGGTGATCTCCTTTAACATCCACAGGTGACCTACAGAAGTCCTTCTAACCAGGATTATGCTGGAACTCCATGGCAGTAGCCCCTTGGAAATATCCTGTTTAGGAATAGCTTAAAAGCCCAGTAGCAGAGGAGGCTGCCAACAGAACTTCACCAGTGAGACAAGTTGCATTGAGAATAAATAAATTAAAAAAAAAAAAAAAAAGTTAAGGGCTTTCAGTTAGTGTTCCAAGGAAATTCTTGCATACAATTTTGTTATAGAAGCTTGCTGTGTGCAAAGCCTCTTGCCTTTCTGTGCATTGAGGTACTGCTGTTGTTAATATATGATATTAGGATAGTCATGGAGGAACAGTTTGAAAATCTGTTCTTTAACCCCTTTTCAGACTGGTGCCAAATTCCATGGTGTGTCAGTGGGTTTCAGGGGGACTGTACACACATCAGAGTAAGTCTGCTACGTGCACTGAATTTCTTATGCTTTGGAAATTGTTTTCTTAAAAATGTAATGGCCCTGCTAAGTGTGAAGTTCCTGTTTTATTTTCCCTTCCAGTAAGCACTCACCCATGTGCTTAGGGGCTCTTAAAATGCTCTAAACATAGCATGTTGTATTTATGCAGAAATTTTGACATGTCAATTTGTCTTATTGGTTGATGGTGCTTTCTGTTCATTTTTGTTTGTTAATTTTGTTAACATATAACTTTTCCAGAAAATGAAAAGATTTGGACAGGAGCTTTCTATTTTGAGGAAATGAAAACACTTTTCATATGTTCTGGGAAGAGGCTTCAATAGAAACGCCCAAATGGCATGTGAAGTAAATCAAAATAAGTTAAAGTATGCTTCCCAAATATTTGTGTTGGAAAGAATCTACACTTTTTACTTCATAGTGAACATTTCTTTTGTTACTTGGAAAATATATGTTCTAAAAATACTGTGCTGTGAGAATGTTTAGACTTCTGTAAACAAGGGGCATCCAACCTAATATGGCTATTGCAGTATCAAATTGCTGTACCAGGAAAATGAAACAGCTTCACTTTCATTGTTTAGAAATCAATGACTTTCTTCTTGAGACTTCATCATTAGGCAATAATGTTGATGAGGCATAATGGTCATGGAATAGCTAATTTGGAAAATGTTCTGTTCTTCTCAAGTTCTGTTGCTGATTGAGAAAAGCCAGGCCCAGAAAAAAGCTTATAATGATGAAAATTAATCCTGGATTGTGATTCAAGCATAACTAGAACCCAGCTTTTTTGCTCTGTGTGTTTTTTACCAAAAAAAAAAAAATCCTGGTAATTGCAAAAACTACTACAAAGATATATTGCAGTGTCATATCTAAAAATATTTTTCATGGTCACCATATGCTTTATACTTTTTCAAAGACTCTTACATATATTACTTTTAACTTGCTTTATCTTCAGCATTTTTATCTGAGTAGTAACAATTTGATTGGTTTTAATGGTATTTAGAAACATTAAGATGATAAAAATTCTAAAATTGTGTTAAAATGAAAATTTCCATTTCAAATACCAACACAAGAACATATTTTATCAGTAATCCTTTTCAGAACTGGCTTAGTTCCTCCCTTTAGGAATTTGTGTTTCTTTTTTCCTCCAGGAAGAAGAAAGACGTATGGCATCTATTGCAGCCAGGAAAGAGGAAGAGAGGAAGCGTGAAAGCCACAGACAGACCTTGCTTAAGGTATTGTCATGGCTGTTCTAAGGTTACTGTAGACCAGTTTACAGCAATCATTTATATCCCTTTTTTGGCTGTAGATATTGTATTATATACCCTAATATGCCTCCATCTATTTTCCCAGCTTCAGCAGTGCACTCCATGACTGAAACTCTATTCAGTCAAACATGCAAGGTGCACTTTAGCAGAAAGCCCATGTTGAACCACGAGTGTGATACATGTCAGTGGATGGCAAACTTCATTTTCCTAAACCCAGGCTAAAGTAAAGGACATCTCCAGTCATTTCACATTCCTTGGTCTCCCCTTTCCAGGTGACCACTCTGGTGTTCTCAAGTAGTTTTTCCTTCGTTTTCTCCCGTTGAGTTTGTTCCTTTCTGTGGATAGAGTGCAGGGGCCCTGAGGGCACAGGCAGGCTCCAGCTGTGTCTCTGTCAGCACAACTCTGATCTATCTTATCTCCCAGCCCAGCTGGCCTGCTTGGTGCTGACACACACAGGCAGAAGTGCCCCACCAGGGCAGACCCTGCTGCCTTCCAGAACACTCTTCATGGGCTGCTGACCGCATGGGCTGTGCTCCTGATAGGAGACCAAAGATCCAGAATCTAAGAGTATCTTCATTCCATTTGCTGTGTGAATATCATCATCTGGCTCCAAATCTCTTTTTTTGGAGAAAAAAGTGCCTACTTTTTGTTGTTGTTGTTGTCAGCCAGTAATGCCCATACAAACAATCTCCTTCCGTTTGGCATTCAAATAAACAAGAAATGTTCATGTCCATATTAAGTTTCCTAGGTAAAATCATATTTCATGAAGGGGATTAGACTGGATTAGTTGCAGGAGGCCATAAGAAGTTTAGCAAACATGTAGAACTGAAAAATAATAAGACACAAACAGAATGTTAACAGTATGTTAAAAGATGTTTTAAGTATATCAAAACCCCCCAAGAGAATAGGGGTGAAAAATTTTGTGTCCAGTGAATAAGAATATGTTTTGATTTCTTGTATATTTGTATCCTTGTATATTTCTGTTTGATTAAAAAATATTGATATTATAAAAAAAAGACTTAGATATGGTTTGAGAGGTGGTTTTGGGTTTTGTAAGTAGTGTGTTTGTTTGGTTTTGCTATTTCTTCTTTCCCTGCAAGATATTGAGGTATTTAAAGTATCTTCAGATTTGAAGTGTTGGTGATAGATCTTAGTAGCATCAAGAAATGGAAAATTAGTAAAGAATTTTCACACATGACATTGTCTCATGCTGTTGAAAGTGTCTCTCTGACTAGAAAAAAAAAAGTAGGTATTTCTTTGTAGTTCATGTTCTTAATCATTGATGTGATGTTTCCTTGTAGCAGAGAGATTGTTTGTCTTGGTGGCCTAGATTTTGAGGTGCTTTTTGCTAGTGGAAAATTTCCTTAGAAGAAAAAATATTTTTAACACCTAGTGTCATCATTAATCAGTTTCAACATTACATTTTAGACTTTATTTTATCAAAGTATATTTCCTATCTTCAAACAGTTAAGTGGGATAACAGTAAAACACCAATATTTTTCATATGATTTGATGATTTTGTAGATTTTCCTTTGTGAATGAGTTCTTAGGATTCAGGCTTTTTTCCTGTTCTACACATTTGAATTGAAGGAACAAATATGACATACATACAATGTCCAGCAAAAAAAGTTGTCAACTATAGGTTTCTTCATAGTTAAATCTGAAAAAAATATTTAGAAAATTATGTTCCGCAATTTTCTTTTACCATCACATTTCTCCAACATTTCTTTTGCTATATGAAGTGTAAATGAAATTATAGGCATTCATTCAGTAGCAAACATTTGCTGTTTTCCTGTATGCACTGCATTGAAAATGTTTATTTCAGCAATGTCATCTCTTCTTTTTCCCTTGCTGATACTTGTCTGTCCAAACAACAGAATTTCTTCATCTCTTTTTCCAGCTTCTCTTTTATTGCTTCCAACCCACTCTTCTGGGAAAGCTTGAGATGTGCTTTGAAATGTATAGAGAATGTCATTCCTTTCCAACAGTGGTTGAACTTAATATTTACTGGAACAAGAGAAAGTTACTGCTAGCAGAATCTTCACACTTGTAAAGTTTGCTTTATGTAGAAGGAATTCATGGAAGTTTTTGAAGTTCTGTAGGAATCCAGCAGCCCACATCTGAGGGCTAACAAAGCAGTAGAGCTGTACAGTAATTGAGGTTGAGACCCTAAAGCCTTGAGAACCAACAGACTTTTCTAAAGATTGTTGTGATAAAAACCACTGATGATTCCAGCTTCCCTCCCTTCCTGTGACATGGAGCTCGGTCATTGTGGAAGTCTGTAAGTGTAGAGCACTGACCAGAGAGCGTCAAAACTCCCATGGCAAATGGAACATGAACTAGAGTTTTGAGCTCTTTGAAATGGAAAAACTTGCAGAAGTAGCAGTTTCCATGTCCTAAGTAACTTAACTTCATGCTTTCATAAGCTGTGGGTTTATTATGTTACTTTTCTTGTTTCTTTATTGCAAATTTTGTGAAATTATGTGCTGGCACTTATGCAAAATAGCACTAGAACAATGCATTGATTTTAATGTATAACCACCAACCACTAGTACAGTTTCTTCAATTTGAAACAATTTAAAATGTTTTGCTTGAGCAGCATATTTCAGACCAAACAAATGTGCTGCCCCTGCCCTGTCACGCTCACGGTGCCTGGTGTGTCTCGTTTCAGGAAAAGAAGCGGTTAACGATCGGTAACATCGCTCGGCAGTGGGAGATCCAGCAGAACCAACTCGCTCTTGAGGCTTCTTTAAACAAAGATAAAGAAAATGAGCCCTGCCAGATCAATGGCAGTGCTGCATATGTATTTCCTGAAGAAAGCAGGTATTCTATTTGGTGATGCTTTTACCTGTTCAAGTCTTCAGTTCCAGGTTACTGCTTCTCACCACTGAGATCTCACTGTATTTCATTATCAAAAGTACCTTATATGCACAGCAACCCTGGAAAGTTGGCTTACTTTGCTTTTGACCATTAGTAATGAGTAACATGTTTAAAAAGAAATAGAACAGCAACTCATTGCCTAAAGAAGTGCAAGCTAAATTATTATGTGATTTTGCTAAATAAAGGACAACTTCATGTTTACAAGAAATGTTAAATGTGAATTCCTGAGCCTTCTTGAGGCTGTTCATTTCCTTAACAGCTTAGATTGTTGCCTTCAGTTTAAATGAACAAAATGAAGATGTATGAGCGTTATGAAGATTTGTAATCTCTTAGTGTATCAAGAGTTTTCATAGTTGAATTCAGGCTCTTAGTCTGAACTGCAGCATCTTTTATTGGACTGCTTTCACGCCCATACAGTGACAGTAGCAATTACCAGACTAAGTTTTATTCTCAAGATTATTTTAGTATTTTTTGGTTTAAAAGATACTATTTTTTTTGTTTATTTGCATCTAAAAAAGTGGCCATGTGGCCAGAAACCACTGCAGAACTTAATGAGCAGTGTATGCCTTGGATTGGCTAAAACCAAAGTAGCACTTCAACCTTGGCTAGCTCGAGCAAATGCCTGAAAAAATAGTCTGCACAAATTCAATAGCAAGTACAGCTTCCTGCTGTCCCTGGTCAATGCTGCAAATGTCAGGGATGCTCAGGAAGTCTTTGTCTCTCACAAGTAGAACCCATCTGAGTTTCAGTCTTGTGTGGCTAGAACTGGTTCTTATCTCCAGTCAAGTGCTACATCTTTTGAACCCCTTTTTCCTTTGCATTTTTAAATTGCCGTCATCTTTTCTATTCTTGTGCTTCCAAAGGTTTCCCCTCAATGCATTTACCCACTGCTTTATTGCCTGCTTGGTTTCTTTGCCATTTAATTCAGTGTTGGTAATCCCTCCCCCATGACCAAGTCAGTGTAACTATGGTAGTTTGACTGTTTGTCTGTTAATCAAAAAATTGCCATTGCTTGAGAAATGATGCTGTTTTGATGTATGTGTTTTATCATAGTGAAGAATTGCAAGATGAGCTACTAAGCAATAAAATTGCAGGTGCAATTCAGAATAGAGAAGTAATTAAAGCCTCACATATGAAGTGGTGGGCTCTCAACATTTTCAGTTGAGTGAAATTTTAGAGTTCTGATTCTTATTGTCAAGAGAACATCAGTCAAATGATTGCTACTAGTCAAAATACATTAACAAGACTAAGAATGTGGTAAAGAATAAAGTATAAAATAACAATCATCACATAACTTTCTAAACTTTTAATTTGTGCTTATCCTGAGGTCTCTGTACGCTTTAGGTCCAGCCAGATGAGTGTGTCATGTTTGAGGTAGGACAAAAAGAAATCGTTTTCAGGAATACCTGGATTGATTGCTTAATTTAAAAATTGCTCTTGTGAATTGGAAAGGTCACATTATTTCAAAGCAATGCTTGAGTTATTGCTTATGTCCACTTTTACACTTCACATAGCAAACAGAATGTGAAGGCGACATTGCTTAAATAAATAGATTGTTTGAAGCTTGGTTTAGATATCTAAAGCAACACAAAACATGCTAGGTTACCATTCTGAGCTCAAATTTTAAAGCCAATTACTAAATGTGAATGGACTCTTTATTTAATTTGACCCCACCACCAACTCAAATACACCCAGACCCTTTCTGCTGAAGAAGTAGAACAAATACAGTGTTACTTGATGGAAGAAGGGTTTTCCAGTCTTTATGTATTTGAACCAGATGGGGTACTGAAAATGAATGAATACTGAGAAATGCCATTGCATTTGACAGTTGAGTTTTGGTAAAAGAAAGGACTGTTACTTGGTAGAGTGATGATATTATTTCAAAATCATCTCATTTATATCACTGTATTTTTATTTCCTCTACAGATCTCTTGATACAATCCTGAGCAGTGCAGTACAAGGCTTGTCTGTTCTGGAGTCTCATTTAGTGGAGGTGGAAGGAGACACTCTTGGCTTGTATGGCTCTGGGGCACTGGAATGCCTGGATCGAAACTGGAGTGTTCAAACAGCTGGCATTATTGCCACAGTCTCCTTCATGTTCATAGAATTTGATGAAATTGTTCAAGTGTTAGCAAAACTGAAGACAAAATTCCCTAACTGTGTGGTGAGCATGCCTCATGTTTCAGCTTTGAACAGCTATGGAATATGGATTGTTTAAAAGAACCTTACTTTGGCATACCCCCCCCACTAAGTGCTTTCATGTGAATAGATACAGTTAAGAATTGCATATTTTCTTCTGTTATAATGATAACCTTGATACTTAAAAATTAATAATTTAAATTTAGATTTATTTTCAGACTGATTTATATTTCTTCTAATTCCTTTGACCTACCTAATTATTTTTAAGTTGCAAGACTTGTGTGTAAATATAGTATTGTTGTTCTGTACTATTGTTATGAAACTGTGGTATCAGGAAGACTTCATTTGTGTCCAAAGAGCAAATTGCTGATAGGATAAAAAGATGAAGATTAGAAGGAATAGCTGATTAAATCAGCACAGTTAATGAAATTCCTCAGTTCTTGATAGAGAAAAGCAACATGAATGAGAAGTCTCTTCAGTTTGTCTCTTTTTTTCTTAGTCATTCAAATCAGTCATTTTAATGCAAATAGTAAAATAGAGATAACAAACATTATCCGAGCAAGCAACTTGTAGCTGAGATTGATTGGCTCTGGAGCTCCCTGCTGCTTCTCAAGATTTTGAGTATAACAAAACTTAATGGTTTAATTGAGACTGATCAATTTGTGGGGAGCTCAAGACAAATTTATCTGTCTTAATGAAACCATTGTTTCACTGTGATTGGGGGACAATTTGTGGGTGATAGCAGAATCACAACTTTAAAAAAATCGCAACTTTAAATTTTTATCTTCATCAACTTTTCCCCCTTGCTCTTCCAGCATTAATGCTGCTATGTAGCACACACCATGCTCATAGGAACATTGGTGTAGGGCAGGAATGATTTAGGCCAGCACCCTGTGCCTGAAAAGGGCAGAATATTTTAAAAGCGTGTATTGTACTTACTTTTATCTATAGATATTGCAGGTGCTTTACTTGTAGAATTAAAGTAGGCATTGTTTAAGTAGTATCTTTGCTTTATGTAACATTGAAAATATTCCTGCTTTAAGTAAAGAATTTAGAAATTGCTTGGGGCTTGTAAGGTTGACATCTCTTAGTATAGGTAATACAGCAGTTGGTTGATACATTGATGTGTTTTGCTACAGAGATCTCAAATGAAATGAGCTCAGTTGCTTCATCAGACACATGAGTGTTACAGTTTGAAAATGGAGTGGCACAGAATAGAATCACTGTGTTCACTCTTTATTGTTTCCTTATTTAATTTGTTGGGGTTTGACTTTCTTTAGCACCTGAAGTTTAAGGAGACAAATCTTGTGGCGCTGCAGCAGTTCAATGCCTTGGCTGAGATGCATCGCATGGAACAGCTGACAGTTGATCCTCAGGGAAATCCAGTTGTCAACTTCACTTTGTGGAAATACTATGTTCTCTTCAGACTGAACCATTTCAATCTGCAGAAGATAAATGGAGAGAAGGTAGCATGGTCTTGCTTCTTATAATTGCTCTTACAGGATAAATTAGTGTTGTTTTAAAAGAGCAGATGAATTCCTAATGAAATGAGCACAACCCTGTCAGTGTCTTCTCGGTATTAGGGGGAAAAGATTTAAGTAGACTTCACCATGTAATTTCTTGTGCAATTAATACTAAAATTAATAATATTTAGTAACATTATTATTAAAGAACTGCCCAATTGCGCTTGATTTTAAGAAGCACTTTTTAAGGAAATCACAGCACTGACATTGAATATTTAGGCAAAAATGTGTTTGACAGAGTTCTTAGTAGTTTACTGTATATGATTATTTACAATTGCCAGTGTTACAAAATACCATGGAATCGTATTTTCTGCTTTAAGCCTGTTACAGGAAAAGTCTGTCAAATACGTTTTTTAAAAAGTTTTTCTGCTTGCTATGTACAAGATTTTTAGGGTGCATTTTTTGTTGTTGAGTGAACATTTCGTGTTTAAATAAACATAAAGTTAGGACACTAATATTGTTGTTCTTTGTATACTATGTGTTCCCCTTTACATCAATTGAAATTAAATTTATTCAAGCATATAAACCAGCTATTTTATACTTGGGCTTTGATCATAAAGGGGGTGAAAATAGTTACAATGCAACACAATGTATGAATACACATTCAATTTTAAATGCTAAATAAGTTTAAGAGATGTTATGGAAGTTAATTAGAGCAAAAATAATACACAGCTTTAGTATTTAGATCTGGTATTTTAATTTGGTCATCATCATATGTTTTGGATTAGATATACTTGTTATCTGATCCAGCCAAAGCTGGATGTTGTGGTTTACTTGGTTTTAGTTGTATAAAACATAGATTAGTCACTCAGAAGAGTAAGAGTGGGTAAAGAGCTTAAATGAATTAACTCACAAGGAAAGGATGGAAATAGGGCTCACTCCAACAGCACAGTATCTTGAAAAGGAAAAAAATATAACTATAGTAATCCCATGGAAAATATAGAATAACTTCAAAATAGTACTTTGCTGAAAAAATGCTCTTCAAATTTGATTTAAAAAAATAGAAAGTTTATTTCTTTTTTTACTTCATCATATTTTCAAAATCTACTAGTGATTCGGATGATAAGCAAATAGATAATTCTTGTGTTTGGTCTTCATGGAGAGAGAAAGTAACACAACTGTTTAAGTAGACTTTTTGTTACAATCTCAAGGTCAACAAATTCAGTCTCTGAGGGAAAACTTTGTATTTAATAGTTCTTGGGGATTAATTTAGTAAATGAAGCACATGTAGCACAGCATGATTTTATGTAGGACATATATCAGATCTTAAATATGTATGACAAGAACATTTTTGTCCTCAACAAACTTTTTCAGCCAGACCACACTACATGAAGATGTGCATACAGGATTTTTTTCTAGTGTCATGAATCATTTGAAAAGTGTCTTAGCTAAGCAGAAGAAAGAGATGAGCTCTGATTGCTGTTTTTCATTACTCTACAGCAGAAGTCATGATGTTCAGCTTTGCAGATGTGTATACCTATTGGATTAACATGAGTAATAAAAAATTCTATTTCAATGTAAAGAACACAACCCCTGAAGTGATTCTCAGACCTTAGATCAGCCCTAAATAACAGTTCCAGATGACAGAAAGGGAAATGTGCATATTCTGCTATTCTGATCATCATTTGTGAGCAGTGTTTGTGGAGACCATATTGTGTTGTCAGCTCTGAGGTACGCAGAGTTGCAAAGTAAAAGCAATATATACTAACTGAATTAACTAAATAAATTCCATCACTCTAGCACTATCAAACTGTAAAAAACTTCTTTAAAAAACTTTTATTTTCTCCCCAGCCTTCCCCCACCATTCCACTTAATATTCCAGGCTAGAAGCTGAGTGTTGGTCTCCCCCTAACAATAATTCTGTGCCCTTGTCCAATTGTTACATTTACTAACTGTGAAGAAGCAAATTGTCTTTATTGAGATACTACATGAAATTCTTCCCAGTGATAGTAATCTCAGATTAATTCTAAACTCAGATTAATTCTAAGCTGTCCAGGTTTGAAGTTACCAAGCCCTCCAGAGTGCTGTGCACCCCGTGGTATGGGATAGAGTGTGACAGATGCATCCCTGTGCCTTTGCAGGGCTGCTGGCACAGTCAGTGCCTACTCTGTGCACTTGGCAAGGAGCAGCCATAAAGCCTTACATTTATGTGATACCACCGTTATCATCTTTTTGTGATTAATGGAGCAAACAATGCACTGCACTAAGATAGAGAACATGAGTTTCTGTGAGCTGGAGACTGTATTCAGCATTGCTGTCTCTGTTGACCTGGTCCTTATGCTTCTCTTAACATAAATAAATACATTAAAATCACTTATTTCTCCAGCAGGCATTTCTGCCTGCACTGGGCTTTGTTTCCCTAGCTGCCTTCTGTGCTCTTTGTTTTAGACCTTGCTTCTGTTGCAGACTGTTCAGCAAGGTCATCTACTCCTAGGCTACTAAGTAAGACTTACTTAATTTTAAATGAAAATTAACAACTCCACTGTAAAAATTGAATTGACATTTCTAATTGCCTGATCTGTGTTTTGACTAAATTTACCCCCCTGCATTATGCTATAGCAGTATACTTTAGGCAACTGTAGATTGTATAGTCTCTAAACATTACACAAGAATACAATAAAAATCTGTTAATGTGGATCAAAATTCCATTTTATGCACGCATTTCAATAGCACAGAATACAAAGTTTATCTGGAAGTGCTCAGTAAATATTGTGAGTATTGAAGTGTATTTAATAATGGTTGCTCTCCCAAAGTATGTTATAGGATGAATGGAAATTAAATTTCATCCAGAAGTTAAGAAGTCAATGAGTAAGTTTCATTGTCCAGTGTTACCCAGGTCAGATGGTGATCATAAAGATTGCTTCTGCACTCAGTACAAAGCCAGGAGTCCAGAAACTGTGCCAACAAACTTTTGGCAGTTGAAGTCAGTTCATAGTCTGGCCATCAGGGAGAAACACAGGCCGTGGTCTCCAGAGACTACAAGCCAAGACAAGCAAAAAATAGTAACCAGCAGCACCAAAGAATGAATCTCTTCCACTTTCTTTACGCTTTTCAATTTTGTGTAAAATGAATCCTGAAAATTTTTCAACCATTGCAAGTTAAAGAGCAGCTGGAACTTAATATTGAAACAACAGTATGGTAGACATTTAGAGAAATATAATGAGTGAACACTTATTTTCAGGAGCTGAAAAATACAGAGAAAAATTTTTCCCTCTAAAGCCTCTCTTTTATAAAACCTTTTCCATGATGCTGCCAAAATAAGGGAGTCTGTAAGTTATCTTTTCACATGTGCATGCCCAGAATCTTTCTGTTTCTCCAGCATAGCTTAATCAGAAATTTTCCAGTAGACCTTTTTGTAAATGCATGCAGAATTAATATGTCTGGCCTTCAGAAAATGAATGTAAGGAACCTTTTTAAAATTCCTCACTTCACAAAGACTATCATGAAGCACAGGGCAGCATGTATATACATTAAAATATCCAGAATGACAGGAAATAAAACAAGCACCAGTACCCCATCTGGTTTCTTCTAAAATACATTTAAAGTGCCAGTAGAAGCAAGTCTATGTTTTGAAGGTGTGCCTGCAACAGATCTGTGTGCAGTGTTCTATATAAAAAAAATCAGTTAATTCTCAATGTACATATGTTATGAAATATAAATGTGCTAATTTTGAAATGTAATTTTTTTCTTTTTTCTCCTCTTCCCACTGTCTCACAGGTTACTGAAAATGACATTGTAAAGGCAGAAAGGCTCTTTGGCATCCTGGCATATGTGGCATCTTCAGAGCTGCCTCATTACCGCATGCTTTCATTATTTGGAGAATCCAGGTAAAATACAAGAACAGAACTGGAGTTTGTCCAGAACGTGTTGTTTAACTCTTTTGCACACTGTTATAATAACTTCATTTTAAGTAAAAAGATGAAAATTTCACAAATACCATCTTCTAGAAGACAGGTCCTCTGCATAATGCACAGGTGTTACCAACTCTGGTCTATGTAGCCAGAGGCTTTCCCAGACCTTGTATGAAGTCTGCTGAGGAGATGAAAAGGAATGTGCACACAAATGAACTGCATGTTTAATTCTGCATTTGTACTGGGACTGCTGAAGACTTGTGGACCTTCATGATGAGAACTGGTTATTTAGTGGGTATTTTATAGTGGGTAATTAATGGTTAACAGATTTAAGAGTTGTAGTGTAAAAGAGGCTGCCAAACCCCCCTATTTTTAGTCTTCTATAGAAGACTATGCAGAAATACTTAATAAAAGTTAAAGCTGCAAGACTTCCTATTTAGGAGATGCTATGTGATATCAGAGTCAATTGTTTAGAGACAAATTAATGAAGGGACATCTAGAGTCATATGTAATTAAATAACTTGAGGATGCAAAGTACTTCAAAGCTCAAAAATGTATGTTCAAAAGGAGAACCCCCCTCACAATAGCTAGAAACATATGCACTTAAAAGTTTTTGATAATTAGGATTGTAAATCTCATTTCACAGGAGGAAGCAATTCCATTATCTGCTGGAGGGAAAGGGAAAGAAATCTGGGGTTGGGAGTGAGGAAAGTGGTGATAACAGAAGAAGTGGAGGGGAAAGCACAGCTCGAGCAACATTGAATTACATGACAAAAGATTTTCATATGGAAAAGCTTGAGGTAAATATATCATTACAAAATATTTACATTTTCCTTTAGGTAACCTTAGGCTACTGCTCTTTGAATTTATCTGTATGTCAAGTTTCAGTTGTGCTATTGAGAATGGTGATTTTAAAAGATCAGTGCTTAACGTATTTACATATCTGATCAAACATTTTATCTAACTGATCTTTTCCCCTAAATACTGGAAAATGTTCAGTTTCTGTCCTTGGTGATGTGATTCCTGAACAATGCCACAGTCTCAGAAATACTTTCTCACCTACAAGCCATATGGAGTGAACACAATTTTTTGGGAAGAAAAATGTATATTGTGCATGTTCAATTTTCCCTGAATGAATTGGTGAAGAACACCTTCAGAGATAGTTCAGGCTGTAGTAACAAAAAGCTGCTTCCTAGCTTTTAAGTGAGCTACAGGAAAATAAATATATAAGCAAAGTACTAGGTTTAATTATTAGTAAAATTGCAAGCTGGCTTGTTTCAGACAAGGGCATCAGTCACGCTTGTTTTAGTTTGTGGTTTTGATCTGCTCACTCTTTTGCTTGGGCAGAGGGGAATTGTTCCCAGGGAGAATATGATTTTTTCAGCCACAATCTCTCTTCTGAGCAATCATCATGAGTTCTAACTGTAGGCACTCTGCTTCCCACATTTGTCCCATTGTTTGCTTTTTGATTTTGTGGAAATATGTAAATCCTGTAGTGCAAGAAATTAAATCAAATTCAGTAATCACTGAATCTTTTATTCCATTGTGGTTTTATTATCTAAGATCCACAGCATAAGAAGGAGACCATGACTGCATGTGTGGAGGGTTTAAATTAAATTAAGAAAACATTTTAGTCTCAAAAACAGTGATAGCTCTTAAATCGTTGAATGGCATGGAGAAGACAGTGAAATATTTCTGTTGTCCTTTACCATGGAACCAGCCCTATAATAAAATAAAATAGAGTAAGCTTAGTATTTGTACAGTCCATTAAATAAATGTGTTGTTTTCTCTTCCCAGTGCAGCAATTCCCCTTTGTCCTTTGCTGTAGCATTGTGCATGTGGCAGCAGGTACTACAGGGTGTCACAAGATTATGTCCTGGAAAAAGGACTCCTTCCAGGTCCCCAGCAGCTGTAACCTTCACAAATGTGACACTGAAGAAGTGTATTGCTAAAGATGACAGTCTTGAGTCTTTGATTAATAATTTGGAGTTTTAGCTGAAACTGCTGGAAAGCATTTTCTCACCTTTATTAGTCATTAAAAACTTTTGTTTTGGTGGCCTGAAGCATGATCTAACATTTTTAACACTGCTGCCATTCAAGCTAACTAGATATTTAGCTCCAATATAACTTACTCTTCAAAGCTTAAGGCATTTTATAGAAACTTTGCTGAATCAGGGATTAATACAGTTTGAGTTATTAAAATGCAGAGCTAGTAGTTGCACAAAGCATAGTATCTTTTTATTATTTTTGAAAGTTCAGCTTACTTCAGTATCTAATGTAATACACATTAGGAACCAGCACTTGCCAGAGTGACTGTGGCAAAGGATGAGTACTGGGATGTTTTTCTATGACAATCTTCTTGTTAGGGCAGGTAGAAAACTATCTACTTTTCAACTGTTGTACTATAAGGATGAAATTCTGGGAAGGGAGAGAAGGAAAAGTAGTTTAGTGTTTAATAATTTCTGTAAATTTTCCCTGCTATGCCAGAAAGCAACACAAATTGTAATGCTGTTAACAGGTATTTATATAATTACTTGAAAATTAATTTCAGATAAATTAATTACTTAATATAGTATGAACATTATGAATACATTAAGGTTCTGTGGCTACACTCATAAAAGCCTGGACATAGACCCTGAGCCATGCAACTTAGAACCAGGGGGAGAAAGTACACAACAGCATCTGCCAGCTAATTGCTATGTTCTTTAATTCATTCGATTTTTGAGAGGGTTTTTGTGGATTTGCTCTGGTTTAATCTTTTTTTCCTTTTTTTTAATACATTGTGTAATTTTTCTCTCATGCAGGAAATCAAAGAAAGAAAAACATTTTGCCAGACATACGTTGAGAACTTAGTGAAAGAAGCAGCTGACATCAATATGAAGAATGAATCCTTGCAGAAGCTCTGGCCTCAGCTGTTCATTGAGCTTGTCCGAGATGCAGTGCTGGAAATCCGCAATAAAAACTCCTACATGAAACTCTGCCTCCAGAGGATCACTGAGCAGAAACAGTAGAGTCCAGGCTTTTGGTTCACTATTCTCTCTTCTTTTACAAACTTAAACCAATAGAATATGAAATTCTCATCACTAGGGCATACTTCACTTCCTCCCCTCAAAAGGATGCCTTTAAATCTTAATTAATTCTTATTAGTTTTGAAATGAAAGTTTACTTTCATACTGCTTTACCAATGCTTCCTTGGCTATCTAAAGTGATAGCAAAGAAATTACTTGCTGATTGTTTTACTAAGTTCTTGTTTATTATTTTCTGCTACCCTTGATTCTGTAGTGCTACAGCATTGATTTTTAAGGAACAAATTTACAAAGTTTGCCTTATTCTTATTGAACACTTTTCAATTGTCACTTTTTTGACTGCTGCTGTTTAAAAACCCCAAGAATAGTAGCTAAATTTTTTATGACCAGAACCTAATAAATTATTTTACACCCTGAACTTGATGAAGACTTATTATTATTGTTTAATTTGTCAGATTATAGAACACTTTTGCACATGAGAGTGCTCAGAATGTTGACAGTTAATCAGCCTAATTCTCAACTGGACAAATTGCCCAAACTTAATTTCAAATGTTTTTTGTTAATGTTACTAAGGTTGTGTAAATTGTTATAGGTAAAATATGATTCCAGGGTGTTCTCACTTGAGCTTTATTTTTATTTTGTTAAAATATGTTAGTATAATTTATTTTGTTTCTTGATTACTAACTTATTAACTTCTGAGGTTTGCCAAGATCAAATGAGCTAAAATGCATGCATTACATTTGGTAGGGAGACTGATAACTGCTATTCAGTTGTAATTCATTTCTGTGACTCTGTGAAAATTTCATATTATCAATAAAAATAAATTCTTCACTTTTACCTTTCACAGATACTATAAAGAAGTACTGTGTGCAAAGAAAAGACTTAATGCTGCATGAAGAGATGAGACAACACTTGCCCCAAAATCACCTGAAGGGGCAGAACAACCCCCCATTCCATAGTACAGTAACTGCCACAATAAACAGCTTGTCAGCTCCTGTCCAGAAATTGAATCTAGGAAGCCTTAGCAAGTCCAGCTGATTGCCATGGATGGCATTCAGATGCAGGTAGAAATTTGTGCCATTTAAATTTAAATTTTTAGTTCCGTTGTACCTTAACTAAAACAATCCAAAACCTTTGTGCATTTTATACTTAATTAAAAGTGTTCTTATTTTACTTGGGCTCATTTATAAAAAAGAAACTAAAGAAAACTTCCTGCAAAGATTTCTATGACTCAAAGGTAAGTTTATTTTTAAACTGTATCTAGAAGGTATTTTCTGTCAAAGCAGAGATGCAGATACAGTTTAATGTGTTTTTATGGCCAGAAAATCATGGAAGGTTTGGGTTGGAATGGACTTTAAAGAACATCTAGTTCCAATGCTCTGCCAGAGGCAGGGACATTTTCCACCAGACCAGATTGCCCAAAGCCCTGTCCAGCCTGGCCTTGGACACTTCCAGGGATGGGGCAGCCAGGGCTTTTCTGGGTAACCTTTGCTGGGGCCTCACCACCCTCACAGGAAGAATTTCTTCCATATATCCAATCTAAATCTTCCCTCTTTCGTTTCAAGCCATTCCCCCTTGTCCTGTCACTGCATGCCCTTGTTCCAATGCCCTCTCCAGCTCTCTTGGAGCCCTCATGGGCACTGGAAGGTGCTTTAAGGTCTCCCTTAACTCTTGTCCAGGCTGAGCAGACCAAGCTCCCTGAGCCCTGAATGAGTACAGGAATTAAATGGTCACAGGTGTTTTGGAGAGTTCAGCCTGCTTGCATTCAGGTCATGTTGGTGCATCTGTGTTGTCTGAGGGAATCCAGTTTCAGAGCATGTGACAGGTTAGCAGTGATGTGGGTACATCACTGTTAAATGCAATTTTCCATTTGGTTCATGTTATATTTGCTGGTAGCTGCTTTTCAGTCTGCAGAATGCAGTGGAGGTTAAGTCATTTAAGTTCTAAGGGAGTGTTAGAATTCCTGGAGAAACTGCTCCAGTAGTTGATAGAATTTAATAGAAACAATCACCTATCTGGGCTGTTTGAGCTGCTTCATGGAATTTATAATAAGATTAGTTTGTTTGGTGGGATTTTTGTTTCCTTTCCATTGGAAAATTGCACCCTCAAGTTTTATAGTGCATTTTATTAAAGGAACAAATTAGGGCCCTGCAAAATGTGAGAAAAGGAGAGTTTACATTAGAGAAACAGCCAGTGTAGAAATGATCATACAATAGGATTTTGGATCTATCATTTTCTTTACATAATTTCTGTGCCAAGGGGGTGCATGAAGCAATTCCAGCTTCTGCAGGGGGACAGAAAGCTCAGCAGCTGTGTGGAAGTGCAGAGCTCTCCTGATGATGTTGCTGGAACAGATGGGCCCCTTTTGAATCAGATTCAGCAGCAGTAAAAGAGTGGAAAAAAATGTTTTAAGAAGGTTGTATTGGTCTAGAGGAACAGGAAGTCCTCCATGGGAAAATCAAGAGAAAAGCCAGACTTTCTGATATTGAGTCTTTAGAAGCATAATCCTGGGTTGATGCTTTAAGGTAGGATCTTGAAAAAATGAATCAGAGGGTATTGATGGGGAGTTGTAGGAACATCTTAAAATGCTCTGTATTCCCAGTGGTCTGTGAGTGCTGCCAGTTTGGACTCTTTTCACTAATAGCAGCTGTTTCATAACAGGATTGCTAAATGGCTGAAGTGAGGGTAGGTAGGCAGCTATTATAAATGAAGGAAAGATTAATGTTGGGCTCATAACTTCTTTTCACATAAAACCAGTAGAAAAAAAAAGGAACTTACATTTTGACTAATTCGTTTTAGGAAACAAGTGATAAATTAAAGTGATGTTAGGTCTAAGAATACATAGAATTTTCAGCAGATGGAGGATCTTAAAATTGTTAGCATGCTAGATGTTGTTTTTGTGGTTACCCAAATAATTTCTTAATTCATAGAGACTCATGAGGTACATTCCTGTAGTTGCTTAGTACCTAAACATTTGAAGGTCATATAAGCAGCAAATTCTTAAATGTTCTGAAACTTAAGTGCCACACATAGGAACTTTCTATGGCTACAGATGCAAACTTATGAGTTAAAATAGCAATTGATATTGAAGCTGGGGAACCTTTTAATAAAACTTCCAGTCTGAAAGCAGTTATTGCTTTCTTCTTCAAAAGCCTTTAAATGTTGCATAAAACCAAATTTTGATGTTGTTAATATTTCACTGATATCCCATCCAAAGTAAACTGTGATCCTCTCCTGTAGCTTGACTTCTGCACAAGACAGGAACTATTACTGTAAAATATCTGTATGTTAACTAGAAATCACCTTGAGGGTTAAAAAGATACTGTTCAAATGCTTTGGAAACTTTTTGGGTTGATTTTTGGATTATTTATGCAATTTACTTCTTTCCTGAGACAAATTTCTTCTGTGTCCAGCCAAAAGCAGATAATGATGTAGGATATTTTGTTTAGTTTCAGTTTAGCTGTTTCACACACGAAGGCCCCATTATGTCATGCAGAGTCACTGTTTGTTACACAACTGAAATTTGATCTTCACTAAGGAGACTGATGAGGAGCTGTATTTTGTACATTCCTTCTAATACAGAATCTGAAAAAGTAATAGAGCTGCATATTTGCTGCCACACTGGGAGAACAAATTCACTTGATGCAAACCAAAAGCTGATGCTGTCAGGTAGGAAGAAAAAGGTACTGGGAAAAGGTTTTAACTAAGCATAGAAGTGCCACTGCCACACTGCCTGGGACCAAGGGACACATCTGAATCCAGAAACAGCTGAAAAGTGTTTTCCATTATAGAAAAGTGAATTATCTTCTTCCACTGCTACAAATGCATTTTTATCATGTAAACTACACAAAATAATGGCAATAATAAGAAGGTTAACCTGTTAAAACAGATCTGCACGTGAAGTTAGGCTACTGTGGAAACAATAGTGACTCCACAATCTATGTATACATTCCATAATTTCAGGGAAAGTGTATCCTTTTTTAACCAGAACTATGGGCTGTAAAAGTGAAAATGATGTTTCCAATTTCTGCTTTTTATCACAGTGACACATCAGGATGAATTGGGTTTTGTTAGCTGCTTTATTTAAAGAAGCTAAGGCAAATATTTGCTATTTCTTCTTATTATGTCATAGTCATAAATATGTGATTTAGATTGGGAGGTCAAAATCACAACAGCAGCTATTTGGTTTGATTGAGAAAACAGACTGCTTGGATGTTTTTTTGTTTCCATATCACACAAACTCTGCTACATCTTGAAACCCAGTTCCAGTGAAATTATTTTTCTTTTTAAGTTGGAGGCATCAGATTTCAGAGATTTGTTAAGTCTTGGTGTTTTGCTACCTATGTATAGAACAAGGAGTGGGAAGGAGGAGACAGGCTATCACTTCGTTCTACTGTCTGATAAGGTGGCTTTTACTCTAAAGTGAATATAAATTGATTTATTTTTGCATGCAAATAGGAGTTAGTGTGGGCTATGCCAACTTGAGACAATCTTACAGAAAGCTGAGAGGGATCTGCTTACACACATCACCTCAGAGCTGGATTTGCTTGAGCATGAGCTAAAAAGCTGAATCTAAGGGACTGTTTATTCAACCAAAGTATTAACTTTGTTGGCAAGCTTTGCTAGGCTTCTGCTCTCGGGGGAAGAAGGAAAAGCTCATCTGGAGGAACTCTTGTCTCTGTTTGCTGTGGTGAAAACAGAATTTCTTTACAGGCTGTCTGTTGAGCCTTATATGCCATACTTCTGTACAGATGGGGTGGACAGACATTTCTGCTTATTGTATCAAACATAAGGAAACACTGGTGAAGAGCTGAGAAGTCTTAATGGGGGAAAAAATTACTCTCTTCAAATTTAAGTTATGTGGTTTTGGTGGGGTTTTTTTTCAGTTATGGATAGATATGTTACATGCAGAAACAAATTTGACTGATGTAAGTACACTGAGTGTATGAAAAAGTAGAAAACTGAAAGTTGGAATATTTATAACAAATCCAGGATTAGAAGCACCCAGCATGCCCAGGAAATGGGTTTATACCAGGTAACCCCATTGTCCTTACTACTGATACACTGGCTTGAGGAGGCCCTTATGGGTAGTAGTTCTATCCAGTTTTTTGGAAGATCCAGACTGATGGCTTCCTGATTGCTGTGGGCTTTGGTTGATGGGTGCACTATAAAATAATGTGATCAAGACAGAATAATCATATTTCTTGGTGATGAATTGTGTTGGTTAATGGCATGACAATTCTTAATCCCGTTTTTGTTGCAATTTTTCCCAATTCGGTAGGTACTTGCATACTAAGGAAAATCTTGTGTGCAATCTTCATTCTCATAGAGTGCATGGCATGTGGTGTATTACTACATCCATAACTTAGAAATTTTCCACTTTCAAATTATTCCTTTCACTTCTGTTTGAGTTATATGGGTATTCTAGAGGTTAAAAGTTGCAATTAGCAATATTCCATTTTGCACTTAACAAAACTGGAACTTTTAATGAACACTGTTCAGGTCATAAAAAAGTGCATTCCTTCTGGAATTCTAGACATGGATAGCATAAACAGCATTAACCTTTTCAAAACAGTAAGAATGATAGCTTTCAAGAGTAAAGGTAATAATGCAAAGCCTTTGTGTATGTAGTATTGAGCACTTGACACTTCAGCACAGGAGAAGATGTCCCAGAATGATAATGGCTGCCATCTATTTATAAATGTATCATTAGACAAGAGATTGTAAAGTTAATCCTGACTACAGTGGTGAAGAAATTGTGGCTGTGAATGTGATGTTTGTCCTACATGCTCACTCGTCTAGACATCTTACTTGGTCATGCAAATAACAGTGGTCACAACCAATAAAAGAAATCATTGCAATATGTGGAGAAGCTGTGACTTTACAGTGATAAAAAATGCTGAGTTCATTGATTAGCTATTATGCAACACTTAGACATTATACTGTGATACAATATGTGCCGTGGTTTGTGTTCTAGTTGGATATGTAGCACATTTGCTGCCTATTTGCATTAGGCTTCAATGATCTATGCTTCCTCATAAAATAATCATTCTGAAGAGTGATGAAAGAAGCACAGAGTACAGCTTTTCTCAGTTTCTAACTCAGCACTGACAATAGAGTCTATTTGGCTATATTTGGCTTCATACAACTCTTGTATCCTGGATAAAATCCTC